AAAAAGAAAAAGAAAAACCTTTAAAAAATCAACAATTTGCTTCCGAACAAAATCATTGTCTTTGTCTTTGCCCTATTCTTGATTCTCAATAATGTGCAAAGAGGGGTAACTGTAGACACTGATTCTGTCCGAGTCTAGTATTTTCAATTATTGATAATAATAATATTTTTTTAATAATAATAATATTGGTTTAATTAAAACTAAAAATTAATTATAAAAAAACCAAAACAAAAAAAAAACAAAACATGGTAGAAAGCAGAGCGGCTGATGCCTGGCACCAGCCACCCTGCAACCACCACTAGTCACCCACGCTCCTACTCTACAGCCACCATACTCCACCCAATCCTTAAAAACCCTCAGCTTCTTTTCATTAGGACCTCCTATCGGACACACCAAGAGCTTACATTCATCACTACCTAACCCCCATTTCAACAAGCGCAATACCCACACTAACACCACAGTCCAAGCCTTAACCTTCACCAAACCCATACCTAAACAGCAACAAAAAAACAAAGACAAACAGTTTCCCCGTATGGAGGAACCCAGAGCCAAAGCTACTTGCAAAAAAAAAAAATCACATCAATCTTGTTTCAAAAAAAAAAAAAAAAAAAAAGGGAAACAGAAACTTTAAGCCTCGATCTATGCTAATCGGGGTTATTTCGACAAAAAGAAAGTCAGATCCAGGAAGAGTGCGTTGAACAGCACTTTTGGGAGTATTTTTGGTATTTTTCGACCATCGACGACCACCGGCAGCGATCGTCGGCGATGACCTAAGCGACAGGCAACGTGACGGCACTGATGTCGAATTCTGGCCTAAGCCAAAAAGGATTTTTTGGGCGGGAGAGTTTTTTTTTTCTGAAGAAGGGGTGAAATAAATAAAAAAAAAAACTTTGGCTTTTATATAGAAAACTAAGGAGCAAAACGACGTCGTTTTAGGCCAAGACGGATCCGGGCAACCCGACCCGTCGAACCGTTCTTCAACAGCTTCTGATCGATCCAGTTGAACCAATTCGAACCGTTTACCAATCATCGAACCAATCGTTGGTCGATCCGCCCGGTCGTTGACCAGACTGTTAACCAGTCAGGTTCAGGTAAAAAAATTTTTTTTATTTTAATTTTTTTTACATATTATTATTTTTGTCATTCTTTTTATATTTATGCATAATAAATTTTTTAAATTTGTTAGAATAAATCTTTTTAATGATAATAAAATAAAAACAAAGTAAGATAATAATTCAAAATTATTAAAAATGCTAAAATAATAATAGTAATATTTTTTTTAAAAATTATTTTAATAAGAATAATACTTTTATTTTCCCTGCCTAGATGTTGAAGGGAATAAAAACATATTCTAAAATATAATTTCGCCTAGATGTTGGAGAATTATAGAAAAAATTTTAATAATAATAATAATAATAAATTTTCATAAAAAAAAAGAAATATATGAAAATTTTTTAATTAATGTTTAAAAATTATAAAAGTCGAATATGCTCCGAAAACCTACCTAAATGTTGGAGATTTTTAGAGATGTTCGCATTTTCTTTAAACTCTAAAATCAAACTCAAAAATTTTTAAACTCTAAAACCTCCAAACCCTAATATTAAATCTCAAACTTTCAAACCCTAAAATTAAACCCTAAACCCTCTAAACCTTAAAATTAAACTTTAAACCCTTCAAACCCTAAAAACGAAACTTTAAACCTTTCAAACCCTAAAATCAAATCCCTAAAACATCCAAATCCTAAAATCAAAACCCTAAACCCTCCAAACCCTAAAAATGAAACCCTAAACCTCAAACTCTAAAATCAAAACCTCAATTCTCAAACCCTAAAAATCAAAACTCCAAACATCAAAACCCTAAAACTGAAACCCTAAAATCCAAAACCTTAAAATTTAAAATTTTAAAAACCCCAAATTCGATATGCATTCTCGAATCATTACAAAAAAATCATTCAAATCTTAAAACTTCAACCTAAACCTATACTCAAAACCTTTTTGAAAGTTTAAGTATACGTGCGAAAATCTTAAGTTGAGTAATTTGTTCTTGAACGCCACCTAAATGATGGGGTATTTAAAGAAATCTTGTTCTATTAAGTTTTTTCTCATGAGTCCTTAAATGCCATCTAGATGATGGGGTATTTAAAGAAATCTTATTCCATTAAGTTTTTTCTCATGAGTCCTTAATACGTCTTAACAATGGGGTTAATAATTATTTAATAATAAAAAAAGAATAATAATAAAATGAGATCTTAAATATAAATAGACACACCTAAGCTCTACCTAGACGTTAGAAAGTCAAGGTGGCCTCATTATATTTAAGAATCCAATTTCAAGTTTGCATTTCATCATTATACATAGCACCTATTAGTTTACATGCATTTATTTGTTTGCATTTCTCTGTCTTTAATTTCTACTTGTTACCTGATAACACCATTATTTATTTTTTCGTATAAAATATTTTTTTAATTTAATTTACTTACTTTAAAAAATGTGCAATTTTAAAACCAAATAAAAATAACATTTCGAAGGAAATAATTCTTGGTACTCTGCCTAGATGTTAGAGAGTCACCAACAATTTTCTATAAAGAACGTTATTTCATTTTAAGGATTGTTGTGTTAAATCTTAAGCGAAAAGAGTTATTTTAAATTCTGTCTAGATGTTGAAGAATTTTAAGATAATTCTTTAACTTAAAGATTTCCTTAATATTCTTAAAATGAATTTTAACCAAAATTTATTTATTTATTTTTAAATAAAGGGAATTTATATTAAATTTCAAATTGAAACCATTTTTTTTAACATTAAAAATAGCGCATAATTAAATGGTACAAATTTATGGGCGTTATGGGGTTGCTAATCCTTCCCCACACGTAACTGACTCTCGGACCCAACTTGATTTTTGTAAATCGAAATTTATCTTTTTGATAAACTTTAAATTCGTTTTTATAGTTTTATTAAAAGGATAAACTTTTGAGTGATGATCAATCACATCCTAACAAAAATTAGTGATGACTCTTTTTTTATTTTTCTCAATTATAAAATAATTTACGTCTGACGGTCCCAAAACCGTTACGACACTGAGAGTCATGAGTCAATCATGGAAGAAATCTACCGTTGAAGCATTAATTCGGAGAAAGAGTTGGGTAAGCAATCCAGATTCTACGCAAGTTCGCTGTTACTGACATTAACTTTTGACATCTATTCTTCAAGCTCATCAACAAATTAATGCAATAATATTCAAAGTTATATTACAATATGCTATAAAAATACGAATAGCATGAGTTGCATCACACAGATATTAAATTAGTTGGTTCAATTAATTAAGACTTATTTTTATTAAAGAAGAGATTTTGAATTCGAATTTTATTAATAATTATTTATTGAGATTATCTTAAATACACGACTTATAATTATTTATCTTAAGTACGATACATCTTGTCATAATTTGAAAAATTAAACAATTTATCTACTTCAAATTTTTTTTTATCAAAAAAAATTTTAAGATTTTGTTGCAACATACAGAGATGGTCCATTAAAATTTTAAAAATTTTTATCTTATAAATTCCATTCAATTATAAAACGTAATTTTTGATATAAAACGAAAAAACCCATTACGGCTCTCGAACATAACCTTAACCAAAATAGTACAAAATACGTGTCAAGAGGGTGGATAATGAAAGTTAGAAGCATTCAAAGATTCATATAGCTAATATACATATTATCTGAGGCTGACACTGTAAGCCTCAAATCCAGGTGGCATTGGGAGAAGTTTTGACAATGAAAAAGTCTCCCTACAAACACTTCAAAACCATGTCTATTTCACCTAAAACCAAGAGAGAAGGAAGTCTCAAATTTCACGAGCTATTTCGTATGAGCTTGGAAATCTATGTATGGTGGTTTTGAACCAAAATTTCAATATCAAAACTTCTTTATCTAATGCCAATTAATGACGATTGTGATCAGTGATTTTAGGCCTAAATATTAAGAGCTTGGGAACTTTTCAAATTTCAATTGGTTTAGGTTTAATTAATTTGATATTATTTTGTAATTGAAAAAATTCTGATCGATATAGATCTTTTCGAGTGTTTTTATGATCGTTAAGGAAAAATTTAAGGCCTAACACTGCTTTTATAGCCAAAAAATAAAATGATGTTTGGCATTATATTGGCTACCAATTTAATGTTAGTTATTAAACTTACGTATAATATAGATAATAAAGTCAAAAGAAGAAAAGTTTGTTTTTGACTCATTATTAGTTTAATTTTTTTAATTTTATAAGTGAAATTAAAAGATTTTTATATGTTTTTTTAAGTATTTTTTATTTTTTATTATACCCTAAAGTACATATCATTTTATTAATTTGTCAATAAAATTTAAAATTTTCACTATCCGTAAATATGATAATTTCTCAATATATATATATATTATTTATTTATTTATATATAAACTCATCCTCTTTGGAAAAAAAATCATCTACCTTTTTAGTGCTTTACGAGGTCAATGGAGATGATAAGTGAAAACGTGTCCCTATTTGTTGACCAAAGCATTCAAATATTGAATTTTCTTGGGGAAGATTTCTCCCCTCGAGAAAAAGGAAATTGACAAAGGCACATTAATTAGTTTATGACAATAAGGATTTAGAGATATGCATACGTGGAGACTTACAAAAATAAAAATGATTAAAACCAAGATAATAAATTAAAACAATTAATCTAATTCTTGTAAGAAAACCATGAAAGAAGGTTTTACATGTTAAAAGGAAAAACGAATGGAACACACATAATGTAACAAGAAAAGGTTAGGGTCCAATTAAATTGCTTGGAAAATTTGTCACTTGTCCCTTATAGTAAAGTTAATTGGGGTGCAAAGACTCAAGAGTCAATGTTTTCACCATTTTATTATTTACTATCTCCATTAATCTACTAATAAAACAAAATAAAGAAAATGAATTATGGGGGAAAAAAACAAATGGATGAAAATGGCAAAATCCAATGACGTGATTTGGCCGCATTGAAATGAAAACCCTTAGGTGGCATTGAAAAGCAACCATAAATCCCTGAACCACACAAATCAAGCCATAAAGATTCTGTTTTTACGTAAACATCATGCATGGCCCAATTAGCATTTTGATTTTGAATAAAACCCTAAACCCCGTTCATAATTTCATGCTTTGTCCCACCAAATTTAAGCATTTGCTAGCCCTATATAAACAATCTTTCCCTCCCTCTCTTTTGATCAATTCAAACTTGGAAATCTTTAGACATTTCTATATCGCTCCTCTCTTGCAAAAACTTGAGTTGTCTTCATGGATAAGCTCATAGTCCTTGCTTTTCTCATTGCCCATTTCTTCATTTTCCCACTAGGCAACTTTGTGCATGGTGCTATTGCTGCTACAATAACATCATGTAGCCAAACCCCGTACCCTGAAGTGTGCAACTATTTCATGGGAAATAGCATTGTTGCAGTAAGCCTTGACGAAACCGAATTGTCGTTCCGTCACCTTGCCATTCAGGTGACCCTGGACCAAGCAGTCCGAGCTCACCAGCTCGTCTCAGATATGGACATGAGTTCATTTGATGAGCGAGCTAAGTTGGCTTGGAATGATTGCTTGGAGCTCTATGAGAACACCGCTAGCCTTCTTAACCAATCAAAGAGCACTAACAATCCTATAGATGCTCAAACCTGGTTAAGTGCTGCAATTGCCAACCAACAAACCTGCCAAAATGGCTTCATTGACTTCAACTTGGCCTCTCATTTACAAACCTTACCATCAATGTTAGGCAACTTTTCAAAGTTGCTTAGCAATTCTCTGGCTGTAAATAAGGCCACTGTTACATCCTCTTCTGCCCACAGTAACTTTGCTAAACAAGTTGGCAATCGACGCCTGTTTGCCTATGGATTTCCATCTTGGCTTTCGGCTACTGATCGAAAGCTCTTGCAAAAAACCGATGCACCACCAAAAGCTGATATTGTGGTGGCTCAAGACGGCTCCGGCAATTTTAAGACCATAACCGAGGCAGTGGCAGCAGCAGGTGGGGGCAAAAGAACTGTTATATACATAAAAGCTGGAGTTTACAAGGAAAATGTGGATATCAAGAGATCAACTAAAAATATAATGCTAATTGGGGACGGAATTGATGCCACGGTTGTTACTGGTAGCAAGAATGCGCAAACTACAACAACTTTTCGTTCAGCAACTGTTGGTAAGCTCTTTAATGAAATATGCATAAGTTTTTGGCCGTTGCTATTACCTTCCACACTCAATTAAGTTGAAAAAGCTCTTCGAACTGGTCCATTCTGGTTCATCTTTGAGCTCAAGAAACTTAAATTAAAGTATATTTTTTCTTTATCCCCAACTGCCCATGCACAAACACTTAATTGAATAAATTTATTTTACAAGTTTTATTTACATATTAATCTATGAATTTAGAAAACCGTACTGTTTTTTATGGGCTACATCTTACTTGGCAAAATGACAAAGACCCATGTTTGTCAAAACAAGTAAATATGTTCACTAAAAACAGAAGAAAAGTTATGAGACAATAATTATCATTATCCTGATGAGGATTAAAGAAAATGGTTAAAAAAAACAAATTAATTTAAACTCGTGCATACTATCTCAAGTCAAAATTTTTGCAATAGTAAAATGACAAGTCAAAATTTTTTATTAATTCAATATTTTTTGTCTGTCTCCTTTTTCACCAACAGTGCTATATATTCAACATGATAAGAAAATAATAGTAAAAAAGATAAATAAACATATTTTTCTTTCTTTTTGCCAAACATCTTTTCCTTTCCTTCTTTTCCACGTAATTAATCAATAATCCCATATATACTTTTATTCATTTGATTACTCACTGAATTTGTTTCTTCTTTCAGGTGTCGCGGGTGACGGCTTCATAGCTCGTGACATAACCTTTGAGAACACCGCCGGGCCTCAGAAACACCAGGCGGTTGCCCTCCGATCCGGCTCCGATTTCTCAGTCTTCTATCGTTGCAGCTTCAAGGGTTACCAAGATACCTTGTATGTTTACTCTCAACGCCAATTCTATCGTGACTGTGACATTTATGGAACCGTTGACTTCATATTTGGTGACGCTGTTACTGTTCTTCAAAACTGCAATATCTATATCCGGAGACCAATGAGCAGCCAAAAGAACACCGTGACAGCACAAGCAAGAACCGACCCCAATGAGAACACGGGCATAATTATCCACAATTCACGTGTTACAGCGTCGTCGGATATGAGGGCCGTTCAAGGTTCGTTCAAGAATTATTTGGGGAGGCCATGGCAGAAATATTCAAGAACTGTGTTCATGAAGAGTGGTTTGGATGGACTGATAGATGCAGAAGGGTGGCTACCATGGAGTGGAGGCTTTGCTTTAGATACTCTTTACTATGCTGAGCATATGAACACTGGTGCCGGTGCAAGTACTAGTGGAAGGGTGAAGTGGGGTGGATATCATGTCATAACCGCCACTGAAGCCGCAAAATTCACTGTTGGTAATTTTCTGGCCGGAGATGCTTGGATTCCGGGAACCGGAGTACCATTTGATGCTGGGCTGTGAATTTTTGACAGGGTTGGCGTGATTTCGCCGTTTGGAAAATGTAAATAGAAAGTGACCCAGATGTTTATCAATTGTCACATAGTTTGTGTTGGTTAATTTCTTAACTTTATATGCGATAAAAATAGGAGATTCTAAATATATATTTATATTATATATAGTTGAATTTGTCAAATAGGAGAAAAATAAAAGTTGTATGATAGGAATTAACGCTGAATTTCATGAAATTGTTGTATTTATGAAGAAACAAAATAATAAATACGATGGTTTGTCTTGCTACTTCAGTCTTTTTCCTTTTTTTTTTGTAATATTATAACGTAATTTGGCTATTTCTATTCACATGTATTGATTTGTTTTCTGATGTCCTTTTTATCACTCCTGACCACAGATTAGTGATGGATTATCCATACTCATCCGGTCCCTTACTTTTTAGATTTTTCCGAAGAAAAATGCATATATAAGAAATAAAGTTCTTAATATGATAGATATATGGCATTATCAGCTAATCACAGAGAAGAAGGCCCCTAGAAATGTAAGTCATATATATATATATATATATATATATATATTGATTTAAAAAAAGTTATTATATGATGTGTCTTTATAGACAGGGTTTGTTTTTGTTTTCCAAGGGATTCTAGAGAGGAATTCCACAGCTGGTTCGAGCTACGAATTTAGTTAATTAAGATTTTGTTTGGTTGATTTTTTTCTTTGTTTTAGTTTATTTTTAATATTTTGTTTTTTACTTTCTATTAACAAACAAAAAAAATATGTTATCAATCAATTGAAGTCTAAGTATATCTGTTGTCTTTTTTTTATTACTAATTAGTGATTACGACTTAATTTGATTTAAATTTCTTTTTAATTTGATGTACATTTCTTTTTTTGTTCCATGAATGCATGGTTTAAGTTTAACCCCAAAATAAAAAGTAATTAGGAGTATGAATTTTGAGTTTTGACAAATATAATGGATTTATTTTAGTAAGGTTGTCGCTAATTAATAGTCTAGAACCTTAAGATTTTGTATTCAAATTTTGTTACGTTTGACTTTGATTCAATTTTGTATTAAATTTATCTAATTATTTTTTAATATATTAATTGATTTATTTGATTATTTAATAATTTTTTATATATAAATATAATACTTAATTATGATTATAATTTATAATTATAATTTTATAAAAATAATTGAAATAATGATAGTTCGAATATACATAATACATATTTTAAAAAATAAAGATTTATAATGTGCTATATTTGGATAATACAAATTGATTATATTTTTGAAATTCTTTATATTTTCAAAGTGATAAGTGAAGCTTCTTAATCCATAGGTTATATCAATCATGTCATGTCCCCAAAGTCGTGCGTACAGCCCATACGGTGCTATGGGAATCAGTCCCATAAATTGCAACTTCAACATATAGCTTTAATGAATATGCTTTAATTTTAGTCTTGAGCACTTTTGCTCTTTTTGATAAAAAAGTTTCAATTTTTGTCGAAGAGTTTCTATTTGGCAGATGGTTAGTCCCATCGTAAAGAATTGAAGGTTGGATTGGTCGTTTTAAGAATAAAAAACCACGATGGATTAATTAGTTTTAGCACTTGGAAGACAGAGTTGCCCACTCATCAAATACTTGGCTGCCTAAAGTTTTGTTATCCCTATCTCTCATTCTTAGCCCTCTAAGATTCATTAATTATTATAATTCACAACTTTAGTCCATTATGAGAAATTTTTATTATTATTGTTAATTAAAGAGGCTATAGTTTGAGATAACAATAAAGATTGCATGAATGAATAGAGATTTAAGTCATCACGCTTTGGGTTTAGTGGCAAAAAACGTTTGATAGGATATTAAAGGTCTAATTTCAAATCAAGCTTTCCCTCTCTCGCTTACTTGTACTAAGATTTCGTCCTCTTGATGTAATAAAACAAAAAAAATAGAGATTTAAATTTAAGATTTGTTGAATGATATTTTTTAAAATTAAAGAGAAATGCTTAAGTATTGGTAATATAATTTTTTACTATGCATAATAAATAAATATTTATAAACTTATCAACAATCAAGGAATCTATTAGTAGAATATTAAACATCGGTTTTAATAATGAGATCCAATTATTTATAATCTTTAATATAAAAATATATTTATATATTTATGATTTATTACTTGGGCTAAAATATTAAAGAAAAAACAAAAACTTGAACTATTTCACCTTTTCAAATGACCCCTTATGCTTTTAATGTACCTAAATAAACTCTTATCATTTTATTTGTATCTATATAAGCATTTATTTCCAAAAAAAAAATTAATTTATATTAAAGACTTATTAAGTATAAATTAAGGATTTAGAGCTCATTTTAGATACAAAATTAAAGATTAAAGTTGCATTCATAATTAATGGTTAAGAATTTATTTAAATACAACTTAGAAGTTAATGATTTATTTGGGTATAGTAAAAATATAAAAAATTATTTAAATAAAATGACAATTAATTTTTTTTTTTTATCATTTTAGCATATCACTTGTGTAGGATGGGACAAACTGGAAGCCTGTATTAAACTTGCATATAGGCAGCAACTGCTATAAGATAGGAACTAGTATATATAATATATCTCATAAATATTTATAATTACGTCTAAAATTTCTGTTGGGTTATTGTTAGATAATACATCTATCCTAGCTACCATTAGATATGAAAATAATCGAAGAAAATTATTTCATTTGTAGGAAAAGGGTAATGACACGTGTATTTAGATCTATCTAAACGTGTATTATTCCTCCAGCAGACATGAATATTCAAAAACCAATGACATAGCATGTTCACAAATATTATAATCAGTTTGATAACATTAAAAAAAACAAAATCAATAGGATGCTCCCCTAAGTACTGAATTTTCTGTGGATTCAAGAGCCTCCAAGTCAAATATAGTAGATTATTTTTTATATTAAATAAATTAAAAAAAAAAAAAGCGTCCCAAATTTTCTAGAGAGAGGAATAAAGCTAGAGCCTTCCATGAGACATGGAAAGGAAATGAACCAAACACTATCTTTATTTCATTATAATAAATGAAAAAAAAAAAAATATATATATATATATATATATATATATATATATAAGACAGCCAAACATACGGAAAAGAAATTTTGGAAACAATTTAACAAAAAAAGAAATCAGCGACAAGATAGTAGTATAAGTAGGGCATCAATGCCAAGTAGTTGAAGAACATTCAAATTATTTTATGAATCCTGTCAAAATTTTGACAAGCAAGCATTATTTGTCATTTATGATAGTCTCATATGGTAAGATGCAGAATGACAAATATATATGTAGGTTATCTGACCAGGGTCTTGAACATTGTATTTATGTTTCCTTTCCTCCAAATAGTTCTTCGCCTGACCAGACAAACCTGAAATTGTAGCTCTGTATGAATCTATGTGATAACAGTAGGTGCAGATCGACCAGTGAACTCCTGCATCTTAGAAAGTTTTAGCGCAACCTCCACCTGATATCAAACGTAAGAGTCAGCCTATATATATATATATATATATATATAAGTAATCCAAAGTGGAACTGTGAAAATTTAGACAGAAATTTAAGGAAATCTCACAAGAGGAGCAAGAGCTTCTTGGGAATCTCTTCCAGTTTTTGATGGATCCTTTTCAAACTGCTCAATGTAGAGACGGATAGTTGCTCCTTCTGAACCAGTTCCTGAGAGACGGAAAACCTATAGACAAGGAGTGAAATCAAATAAGTAAAGTTTCTATTACTGCTACTTCCGATAAACTCTAGAAATATTTTTGACTGCACTTGAAAATGACAAGATAACTTCTAATTAGTAAAAACACAAGGAAGTTGACTTACCAATCGTGATCCATCCTCGAACAAAAACCGAATACCCTGATGCTTTGAAACAGAACCATCAACAGGATCCTTGTATTCAAATTCGTCTGCATTAATAACATTTGACACATCTGATCGAACCCCCTTCACGATACTGCATTATAAAAAGCATAAGATCATAAAAAGAAACTAAAACATTTAACCGAGGAAAATCTTTAGGCATAATGACTGCAATCAAATATAAACATAACAATTTTAATAAATGCAACCAAGTAACAGCTTCACTAATGTCATTCCTGAAAATTGGCATTGATTCCAAAAAAGATCTTCAAAATTAGGTCCAAAAGAAAGCAAGTCTCCGAGACTTGACTCCAATTATGAGCATCACCACAGGCTGCTAAGCTTCTAGACTACACCCAAATGACCAAGTAATATGGTAATGCTTATAAATCATAGAAGCATGCAGAAAGGAATCATTGGTTGGCCCTTTGACCCCTTATGTTTGACAAACATAACTGTGACACAAGCGTTTCATTCATTTGCTCAAAAAAAAAAAAAAAAAACTACAATTGGAACAAACAAGAAATTATCATCACAAATATGGGCAAGGTAAACTAAACTTGGAATATAAACCTAAGATTGAAAGGAAATTTAGAAATAAACAAAATATTTATTCATAATTCAAGCAAAACCAACTTAGGTAAGCAACTAGTAATATGGGAAGGACCAATTAAATAGCAATTAAAAACCTTTAAACGTCCAAGCTAACAGTATGGTTTTAAAAATAGTAATCTACAAATAATTTGAGGAAAAACGATACACTGAAATGAAAGCCTTAAGCCAGTTCAAGAACACATCAAGCTAGCTGGAATGATTATATATAGCACTGACACCTAACCAATAAACACGGAAGAAGGTTCTTTCAGTATCTAGCACTTAGCAACTCATTGGAAGATAATGCCACTTACAGCAATTACTTTCACTTAAATATTCAAGTAATCAAAAAAATACAAAGAGCATGGCATTTCTCCAAAAGAAACTATCATACAATGGAATAATTCCAGAAAATGGTTGAGCGGTTCTAAAATTAGTATATACACATACGTATTAATTTCATTAAGGGATGACTGCAATTTGATCAGATATGCCATTAAATCCTTTGCTGCACCAGCGTCCACATTCTTCATGAAAGAAAATGAATTAGTTAGATACTCCCTCAATACCTTTATAGCCAAATAATTAAACAAAATACAACAATTTTATACCTCATAGTCATATCGAGTATAATAGTGTCGGCCATAGGTAGCCCAATGCTTACGAACTATATCCTCAACAGTCACAAGCTTATCCCCATTGAGATTTTCCTTATTTTTATATGCAAGTATTGAAAGCCAGGCCAAAACAGCCCAGATTCCATCTTTCTCACGTATATGGTCAGAGCCTGTCCACAAATAGCAGGTTTGTAAGTTTCTCATAGTGCCAAATAAAACTGTTGTACTTCATATGTACGAACATCAAACATTTACCAGTTCCAAAACTTTCTTCTCCACAAATAGAACATAGTCCATCATCCATTAAATTGCAAAAAAATTTCCAGCCGGTGGGTACCTAGTAGAGAATAGGTAAGTAGCTGCCTTGTCATGATAAAAGCAGTGGCCAGCAGGAAATATTATCAAAAATCTTTTCCATGGAATACCTCAAAAAATTTCAGTTTCAAGTGCTTAGCAACAACATCAAGGGCAGCTGAGGTGGGCATACTCCTACAAGCGGCAAACCCAGAATATAATTACAATGGTGACAGAGATAATTATGAATTAATGCAATAAGAAGGAAACACCATATTAGAGTTTCAATTGTGTAATACATGTGTATACATTGGTGATTTTTTATCTTAATTAGATCCAAAACATCATATTGAAATTGTATTTGAGATTAAGTGGGTTCTAGAACCTAGAAAAAGCACATTATGCAGGCCTAAACACAAACACTTTTTCTGACATTTGGAATTTCACATTTCAAACTTTAGCAACAATTATTAACCATTTTTATCATAGGACATGAGATCTCATAAAGAGAGATATAGTCGGACACAACAGGTATTATTTTGTCCTCAGAGTTATATAGACCTACTTGAGCATGTCAAAGAGAAGGGATACAGACACATTTCACCTACTCTTTTCACCTTGTAAACGTTTCAAATGTAGAATCAACTTTTTTAAGCTTTCGAGACAATGAGCATGATAGTTGTTTTGAATTGATAATCTTAGTTCAACTTATTGATATTTTGCAAGGACCAGCTAGCATTTGCACCAGTTGAAATCCAATAGGGAGTGGTTAAAAACACGTGACGCACAAAAAAGAAGTTAAGCAGTGCAATAAAAACCTGGCAACTCCCTTTAAACCAGAAGAAAAGTAAGGAATTGCATCAACAGCATTAGCAGCAATGATGGCAACTGAATCTGATGGAGTGACAAAGAACCTGACAAAGCAAATAATTATAAGAGAAAATTCTAGGAGGTTTAGCTATTATTAAGATTGTTAACTAGATTTCATCAACAGCAACACTACCTTTTGCCCAGGATCATGTTACGATCAGCATCACCATCAGCAGCAGCACCAAACTCTGGCGGTTCAACTTCAGAGTTTGATTTTCCCAATCCCATGCGGGCAACCAACTCCTTTGCATATGTCAGATTGGGATCAGGATGACCTCCTCCAAAGTCCTCCTGGTTTGCATTAAGTCAAGCACTAACAAAAAAAAGTGTAATCCATTTGGATAAACATAGAAGCAACATATCATCAGTCCCTAAAATTCTTCACAAACTTAAAAAGACCTTGGGTACGCAGTTCAACAGTGAGCTTTCTTGTGCCCCAAGCTCTTCCACAAAGATGCGATTTGCATAAGCTCCAGCAACTCCATGCAGTGCATCATAGCTTCAATAAGAAGGGAAAGAGTTACACCTATCAGCCAAACACTGACGTATATATGCTAGAATGTTCCTCTGCATAAAGGCCAAAGGCTTATCTGCATACCAGAATGTAAACTTTGGAGATGAAAGCAGTTTGCGGATAAGCTCGAAGTCAAAAATTGACCTGGGCAATAGAAGCAAAAGGATTAGTATTTAGACTGCATGCATATGCTGCCAATATTAAGAATCCTGACATTCTCAGAATGAACCAACAGGTAAACCAATAATAGGAAGAAAAATTATGTAACAGAATTTTGGCCCATGCAAATGATTTTCTTGGGAGCTTTTAAGATTTGAACTTAAATTGAAATAATAATAATAATAACAATTCCAATCAAGAGAGGTAGAGAAAGATGGAAGAAAAGAAGAACAAAGACAAAGATCACTATCCAAAAGATGTTGCCAGTCCATATGCAATAGGCAAAAACATACACTTGAAGAAATAACTTACTTCATCAATTTCACATAGTCACTTGCTGAATCAAAAACCTCCACATCAAACTGTCCCTCAGGCCCCCCAAAGCTGGTAACACCAATTGCACTAATGTCTACCTGGATTATACAATAGATTGACAATATTGACATATAAGGAACAAAGAAAAAGAAAAATATTGTTGTCAGGATGCAAGACAAACATTTGGTAGATCTTCAGCAATCAAGTATTCTGTTATTGTTTTTGTATTCTCAAAGATCATATCAGTGATAGCCTCTGGAGCAGATCCACCATTTTCCATGTTGTATTTAATTCCAAAATCCTGCAGTAAATAAACAAAAGCAAAAGCAATCATACATCTTTAAATGTTGCATATAAAAACAATTTTTAAAAAATAAACGAACTCAGTTAGGCCCTACCTCATGAGGGCCACCAGGATTGTGACTAGCTGTCAAAATAAAGGCACCAGTTGCTTTGGATCCCTGGAATTGAAGTTTACAGGAAGAACCTTAATATTGCCAAACTTAAACATATCGACCAACTTCTTATTACAACACAATACTTGAAAGAAAACAATCACAATAACAGATAGATTTGTGCAATTGGAGCAATATGACTCACATCCGCACCAACCCTTTCACGAATTACAGCTGATACAGCTGGAGTTGAAAGCAATCCATTCTGACCAACCCATACACGCCTTACTCCATTTGCCGCTGCCATCTTAATTATTATCTGTCAATTTAACAAAAGAGATTACCACACTGAGCAATTTTACACAATGGTTAACGACTGATTACCAAATGATAAGATCATTTTCAAAAATGATGACATCATTATACAAGCAAACACTCTAGAAGCCCTCAATTGCATCCTTTAGAACATATAATTTAGAGTTTTGGAACCAAAATTACATCATAATAACTGGACCACCAGAACATCTACTACATACATCGCATTCAGTACAGAGCACATGTAACAATTTATATAGCTATCTAAATAAAAAAAAATGTCAGAGTGACTAGATCCTCAGACCAGGTTTACACAAGTTAAACTAGCCAAGCCTAAAACCACTAAAACATACCCATGACAAATACATTGTTGAGCTTGAAGCCTGATCTCTCAACACTGACCAAAGTTCAGTAGTATAGTCCAGACAAAGAACCATTACTTGCCATTGATAGACGAATAATTTTGAAGAGCAATCCTTTAATAAAATAACAAAAAAGATATTGTTTTTTCTCATTCTCAAGATGGTATATATATATGTTTGTATGTTGTTAGATTTTGTTAATCGTATATGTGGAGCAACTTACTCATGATACATGTTGACTTCATCATAAAATGCAGTATTTCAAAAAGGGGGAGGGAAGAGAATATTATCACGAAAATCAAAAATTAATTATTCAACAAAAATTGTCAGGGGCTTCAAAGATGAAAATATGAATTGACCAGAGATTACTTTCACACATTTTTATGCAGGTTAGAACCAATATCAACTAATATTAATACATCATGCAAGTAGAAAAAGCAACAAAGAATTAGTAGAAATATCATATGATAGTTTAAGAAAGTTTATTTTAAAATATCTAACTCATAATTTAGATTCAAAGAGTTGCAGTACCTGAATAGCATCCTTTGAGAAATAACGACCATCACCAGAAACAACAAGTGTGGCACCTACAACCATGAACAGGAATTAGAGAAAGCTATCGTAATCACCTGAATGAATGTAACCAAGCAAATAAGAAATCTCTAAGACAGTGAAATGAAACAAAACAAATACTAATTCTTATATCAATTTTTTTAGATATTTCAGAATTGCTCTTTCAAGATTAAGAAATGGATTTCTACCAAAAGAACTAGTGAGACACTAGAGAAGTTGAGTTGAATATTTAACACAGTCATTATCCAACAAATTAGAATTGCATATTGGCAAAGCATTAGATGAAGCAGGTGATGTTAGAAATTGAATTAGTAGGCAATACAGAAAAGCAAAATGACTGTGCATGTACACACTTGGTGCTCTTCTGTGGGGTTAGGATAAAGATCTTAAATCTGAGCCATAGTGCTCTCCTATTGTACATAAACAGAAAAAGGGCTAAAAAATTCAAAGATTTCCCGAGTCCCAAGGACTCATATTTAATATAAGGTTCTATAGATATGAGCAACACTTGTTATAATTGAAGTAAAAATCATGATAAATTCAATGAATGTACTTTAATCAATAAAGCTCCCAATACTGGCTCTTCAGAACAAAGATTCTCATAGGACAAAGAACTAGTACATAACAGAGAACTAGTACATGACAGAGCTGCAAAATCCAATTCTACTTTGGAGATACAAAGATGGGGGGAAAAAACTCAAGCAAATGATATGACCAGAAGAACAGTTGTCTCTGGATGAGATGAGCTAAAGATCTTTCAAGATAAAACTAGTACATTTTGATGAACTACCCAAACAATTGTCAGCATCTCCCACGTACATTAACTGCACATACAATCCATCATAAGAGTCATCCCTAATATTGCAAAGCATGCTCTATGCAAGACTCGCATAAGAGGATGTACCTCAAATCAACACTCAATTTCAAGCTTCTAAGTGCATACTTAACGTGTCAGATTATACCTCTAAAGATAAAAATAATAATAATAATAATAATAAGAACAAGTAGATTAAGCATACAAAAAGCCACAGCATAAATGAAAAATCCCCTACCTCTAACTTTCTCCGGTGCAAGGGCATTGAATGTCGACTGAACAAAATTTTGCAAATAATGAGGTTGAATATAAACTTTCACCTGGAAAGATCAAAGCACCGAATTATTCAATTGAACAAACAAGTAAAACAATACGAAAGGAATATTGTAAGAAAAATATAGAAGATATAGAAACTATTAAGTAATATTATTTTGAATCATCAGTATCAGATGATTAAAACAGAAAATTATACTGATCAACAGGCATCCGTTACAAAAACAATTGTAGAATCATTCAAACATAGAAATATAATACTACTATAAAATAAACCACCGGAAACTATATAATATAGTTATTAAAATCAAAAACAGAAACTATCATCTGAATGAGATAGAACTAAAAAGAATCAAGAATTAAAATTTAACGCATTATTAGACTTCAAAATATAAAACAAGAGAATATCTGACTTGAAATTCAAGCTCCCAATGACCAAAGATGAAAATTTGGTCAAAAAAATTCAATTAAATAATAGAGAAACTTGATTCAGATCCGAAATAGAAAAGAAATGAAAAATGTCATGATTAAGTTAAAACTTTAAAAATAGCAAATAAATCAGCACCGAAAATGATAAGATTCAAGTTTGAATTACAACTTATCTATGAAAGTGAAGTTTATTTTATTTTATGAGATCTGATTCAGTGAGCAGCACTTGCATGCATCAATCAAACGGATCAAATTGATCAAAACTTTTAGATCAGAGTGATCTAACACGAGGGATCAAGGAACAAATTGAATAAAGATTAAGAAGCAAAAACCTTCTTACGGAGGCCAGAAGTTCCAGGCTTCTGGCCATCGAACGGCGTCGTTGGCACTTTCGACACCTTGAACACCATTTTTGTTTCCTTCTCTGCCAAACAGACAACTCGGATCTATCAATCTATCACTCTACTCACGAATCTCTTAACTCTTAATAAATAAAAGTAAAAAAGAAAAAAAAAAGTGAAAATTGAGAGATGGAGATGGAGCTCACTCGTTGGAGAAAATCAAAGCAAAATGCGTTACTATTGAGAATACGAAATTAGGAAAAGTAGGAAGTGACTGTTGTTTCTTTTTTTATAGTGTTGGTCGTTTCTTTTTGTTCTTTTGTTTTGTTTTTTTCTAGAAATTGTAAAGCGAAAGTAAACGGAAAGGAGATGAAGTTAATGGCAATGGGGGGAGTTGGACGGATGCTATTGGATAGGGGAGAATGTAAAACCTCTAGTATTTTCTTTGTTTGTTTGGGTTGAACGAGTCCTTCGCTCTCTCCAAACGATGGATCCAGGAGAAATTTTTTGCTGCACAAATGGCATGTCTCTTTGTATATTCCTTCTTTCTATATCTAATTCCAACATTTGTTATTACAACTTGAATTTGCCGCATTCATTATGTAAAAAAAAAAAATTTTTAAAGTGATATTTTGCAAGCAAAAAAAGTTAAAATATTAAAAAAAATATGTAAACTATTTTACTTTCTTAAATAAATTTTTATATTTTTATTGTATTAAAAAAGTTTTATTTTATTATTTATTTAAGTACAATAAAATATAATAATTTATTTAATTAAAATTATACATTTTTATTTTTTTATTATTTTAGCCTAAAAAATAATATTCTTTATAAGTAGCTAGTTATTAAAAATATATGTCTCTTTAATTTATAACTGTTATGATAATTTTATTTCATCTTTTCTATTTTATCAAACCAATTCTTCATACATCTTTCTATTATATATCCTTCTTATAATTTCAATAACACAATAGTTCAACAAATAATATGCAAAAAAAAAAAAGGTAAAACTCTTTGTTACCACTTTTCTCTATCAACAACACAATAGATTCGCGCGGTGCTTCGATCAATTTTTTAAAATAAATACAAATAAATTTTTAAATTTTTATATTAATTTTAATACACATTAATTTTAATATTTGTTCCAACAACATTTTTTAAAAAAATATTAACATAAATATAATATTAATTCAGTAATAAATAACTTGCTTACTGAATAATATTTCAATTAATTGTTAACAAATAATAAAATTTTATAATATAATAACACTTAGTAACAAATAATAAAAAAATTATAAAACATAAGAAAATATGATAACATATAAGAAAAATTTGTAATACATAATAGAAAGTGAAAAAATATAAAAAAATAATTGCCACACATAATAAAAAGTGGTAAAATATAATACAAAGTGATAAAACATAAGAAAATTTTGATAGAAAGTGGTAACAAGTGACAACAAAATAAAATTGAAACACATAAGATAAAACATAAAAATTTGTTATACATAATAAAAAAAAGATAAACTATAAAAAAATTAGTAACACATAAAAAATAGTAACATTAAACAAATTTGTAACACAATTAAAAAAAAAAAAGTAGTGAAAAAACATAAGAAAATTTACAATACATGATAAAAATTGAAAACACATATGAAAAAGTTGTAATATATATAATAAAAAATAGTAAAGCATACAAAAAAATTATAGCACATAGTATAACATGGTAAAATGTAATAAAAAATTATAAAACATAAAAAAAAAATTATAACATGTAAGAAAAATAGTAATGTTATACTTTGGTCGTTTAATTAACATTTTAATCATTAAATTAACATCTTGATAATAAATTCAATGAGTTCAATATTCAAATCAATATCAAGTAAATCAATTAATCATATCAATATAAGTTGTCTAACCATATTAACATTAACTTCTTATAAAAGATGAAGCGAAAGCACAACTATCTTAATTTGAATCTTGTATTCACTCTCACTTACTCTTATTTGCTTTTTTACTTTATTTATTTTTTGTTACTTTTTATATTTTACTTTTTTTTAGCTTAAAATTATACCATTGAAGTGCTTCGATCGTTTTTCTTTAAAATATCACTTCATCTTCTCCAAATCAACCAACTCGTCAATTTTTTGACAACCATCAATTACCAAACCTTAAGAAAAAAAAAAAGTGATATCCTCCAAATTATTCACCATCATTAAAATAAAAATAAATTGATTAGTACTTGACAGTTTTTAAACTCTCACAAGATGAAGAGTAAAAAAATATTTAGATTGGGTATTAAATTCTTTTTAGAAAAGAAACACAAAGCAGAAAAGCAAAGAATGGGAAAAGTGATAATGAAAAGACTACATAATTGAACAAATTTACATGCAGATGTACTTGTTAATTTAAAATATAACATAATAACACGATATAAAAATAATATAATTTAAAATTTTATAAAATTTATAAATATATTTAATAAAATTAAAAAATTATATTTTATATTTTTATATCGATATAAATTATAATAAATAATTTATACATAAAATAATATAACATAATAATAAATACGAATTATCGTATCTACGTGCAGATTACATGCAGATTACAAAGGGCCACACTAAAATCTAAACCCTTCACCAATAACATTACAACACTTTCCCCCCGTATCTATTTTTTAACCCCCAAAATAATTAAAATAAAAAAAAAAGCTAAAATATCAATTAGTAGAGAACTAAACAACACCTAGAAATTAAAATTAAAATTAAAATTAAAAAAAAAGAGAGGAAAAGAAAAACCTAGCTAACTCTCTCTCCTCTTTCTTTCCCTTTGTTTCCTTAAGCCTCGCTGCTTTACTTGAAAAGACACCAACGATTACACTTTCAGCGGCCTCGTTTAACAGCGGGAGTTGGAGTAGTGACAGTTCCAGTCTTAGCTTTCTTAGGGGGGTCCACGTGGCCTTCCGGTACCGGCGCTAGTTTTGGGTTTAGGGGGAGCAAATGGATCTTTGGGCTTAGAGGGACGACCATAAGGCCTAGGCGTAGAAACAACGGTGCCAGGTAGAAGAGGAACCTTGGGCTTAGGTGGACGACCACGTCCATGCTTGGGTGGAGCATTGCTGTTGGGTCTCATGTAATTGTTCTTCAACATAACAATTTGATCGCTTCGTTTCATCTTGTTGAAGTGGTGGGAAAGGAGAGTGGAGTGAGCCGTTGGAAGGTCTGATCTGAGTGAGTTGACTCAATGTGCTTCGAGATTGCTGACTAATTTAACCCGGCTTTCTCGTTCAATGCCTCTATCGCTTCCAAAATCATCTACACATGCAAATCAAAAGAAAATCAAGCTCACATGAAATGACTCAAAAAAAAAAAAAAAACCCATGAAAAACATTGGGAAAAAATTCAAGTACCTGAGGATAGTCGGGAAGAGAAGATTGTTGAGAAAGGGAAGGGCCTTATATGTTTTTAGTTTTTTCAGTCGCCATTAAAATTTGAAAATCTTTTTTCTTTTCTTTTGTCAGAGGGAAAGTGAAAGAAAATTCGAAGTTCGACGCTTAAATGTTATGATTGTACGAAATCATTAAATGAAACTTTCGGTTCTTTTTTTTATTTCATTTTCTCTATAAGTATTTGCAATTCTCAACTATTCATAAATAGAGATGGCAATGAGTCGAGGCATACCAGAATTTTGCTCTCCTTGCCTTCGGTTTGAAATTTCAGATTTCTTATCCGATTCTCGACCCACCCAGCTTAGAGGTTTTATTTGTAAAATCCGATCTGAGCAGCTAAGAAAGATGTTTCCCAACCTTACCCGAATTTAAGCTATTACAAATTCAAATTTATTGCATGAAAATTTAATAAATCATAATTTAAACATATTATAAGTACTAACAAATTTAATTAAATTACTCACAAATTCAAATTTAATGCATAAAATTATTTTTTTATTAAAATCTTATTTTATTACTAATTGCTAAAACATCATCAATTCAAACAAATATTTTTTAAGATAAGTAAAAATAAAATATACACGAATATCTCCTTATATTTATCTTACCACAACATCTTTTTACACTAACAGAATAGCAGGCAGCCCATTCTTGTTTAAGATTTTCACTATAAAAAATGAAATTCTAAAATATATAAAATTTAGTAAATTAAAATTCAAATATCAATTAAGTATAAATTAATAACTAAAATTTAAATATAATACATGGTATAAGATAAACTTTAAAAGTCTAAACTATCGCAATAAAAAGTTAAATTATTCATACATCTTTTCATCCAACATGATAAAAATCTCTAAAGATTACAAAAAATCATTTCATCATCACTAGGCTTCATATCCCTAACCACACCACTTCTATAAAATAAAACAATAAAACAAATAAATAAATCCCATAAAATAATATATTTAAAAATAATATTATAAAAAAATAAATTAATTAAAAAAGATAATATTATTTATCAAAAACAAAATTGACCATAAAAATGAAATAACAAAATATTAACAAATAATATATAATAACAAAATATAATAACTAACAACATGCTAAAACAAAAATAAAATTACATAATATGTATCTTGAAACAAAATTATTATAGTCTCCAAAATTTTTCAATTCAGTAATATTAACATCATCTAAAAATTAAAAGCTTGAAGTAAGACATCCAACCTTCTTCAGCAAAACCAATATCTCTTCATACTCTTTAACTAAATCTCAACATATTTACACAATCCTTTTAATTTTAAATTCTACATTTTCTTCATGACTCTTCTTGAAGTAATACTTCAACAACTTTATTTTGTACTTTAAATCTAAAATTGTAACAACACCGATGCACATCATTCAAATACTTTTCAAAATTGCTTAATATGCTCACTTCCATAAATGAAATAATTCCATTTCTATGCATAATCCATGCATTCAATGTTAATATAATTTTACAAATATTAAAAAAATAAAAATTTATATAAGCATATTTTGTGCCAAAAACATTTTAATGATATCATAAAACAATTTCAACTTCTTACATATCTCAATTGCCATAATCCAATTATTTTCAGTTGATAAACATTTGTAAAAAAATCATCATATAATTGCACACAAAAAAATATATATTTATAAAATAAAGCTATTCGAAACATCAAATAAGTAAAATTCTATCATATTTTAATATCAACACAACTTTTCTAAAATTGAACTCTCAATTGATGTATTGCCTTTTTTAAATTTTCCCACCTTTTTAGTGTAACACCAAAAAAAAAAACCATTTTGATAGTGACCTCCTTCCTTTAGATGAAGCTATTAGAGGGAAAGCTGTTGAGTGGATGAAAGCAACCCACTAAGCCAATAAACCTATTCATTTCCAAAATTTTTATAGATATGAAAAACTGAAATAAAGGGGAGGAACATATGGATGATAAAATTGTTAGAAGGGAATGGATGGGTAAAACTCTAAGCTCTTGGGTTGGGTGGTGGATGGGAAAAAAAATTTGTAGAGTTGACAAATACAGAGGTCAAGGTTGCACTTGGAGGTAAGAATAAATGGAAAAGAATGGGAAACTTTAAAAAAAATAAAATATATCTATACAAAGTTATTTTGATAAATATTTCACGTTGAATCAAGACAAATTTCATATAAATTACCTTCAATCTAACTCCAATACTCCAAAAAATAAAATTGACTCGACCCAAAACTTGATTTAAAAAATCCTATCTTATAAGATAAGATCAAATCGAACCCCATGATTTTGATTGATTAGCCATCCTTATTCATGAATGCTCTTTCTTATAATATCACGTTAAAAGAATCATAGCTCAACTCTACAACCTTTGCCTTTTGCTAACTAATCCCCAATTTACATAGGAAAATATTAACGCATCTATGGTAAAGAATTAACCAACATGCAAAAATCTCCTGCAAAACTAACTCTGCATTGGGCGCTTTCCATGCGGGTCTGATTTCAAGGGGCTTGCAAGAGCCGACGTAGAAGCAGTAGAGGTATTAAAGGTTGATTCAGATGTACGGGAATCTGAACCACCGGAAGTTCCGGCAGTTGATGATAATCCATGAGGCCTGCGGTATCTTCTGTGTCTGGAACCTGGAACTCCAGGTCTTGTTGGCTCTTCTAGACTGCCAGGTTTCTTTGACAGCAGAACAACCACCCTGCGCATGTCCGGTCGTAATTGGGGATCACTTTGCGTGCATAGTAGCCCTATTTGGATGCACATAGCTACTTGTTCAGAGGCCGCGGATAGGGCTAAGGCAGGGTCCATGATCTCCAAGCCCTTGCCTTTCTTGTAAAGCTTATATGCCTGCAACATCAAAAACCCACAATTGCCAGTTACTAAGCCTTTCTTTCGAACCTTGATATTTTCAGTTCTAGTAAAGTTAATGTTAATTTGAATATTTTTCATAATTAAATCTTTTCTTGGAATTATTCTGATACTAACATTATTAAACAAATAAAATTAGAACTTACTGATATTCCTAAAATTTATCTTCTTAAATAAGGAGATTTATTAATTTTAGAAATAAATACTAGTGATGAAGAGGATGTGTTTTAAAAAGCAAATAAACTTTCATCAAAGGATAAATAGATTTGTGGCTATAATTCGAGAAAATTTAAACTAAATGAAATTAAATATATAATATTTAAAAAAGAATTATTAGCTAAAAAAAATACAATCACTAGATTTCATATCTTTTTAGCCACAGAAAATTTTGTGATAAGAACTGATAATCAATTAGTTCAAAATTTTTTAAAAAATAAAAAATTATCTGTTAATCCTTGTAGAATAAAAGGGTATAATTTTCTCTATCAATATAATTTTACTATTGAATTCATTAATGGAGATAAAAATTTTCTTACAGATTATCTAAGCAAACCCAATGGATCAAGGTAAAAAACCTCAACAGAATAAGCAAACTAAAAAGGTTTCTTCCTCTTCCTATTCAGAATCAGATTTTTCTCGTAATCCTAACCCAAGATTATTTATTTATCAACCTCATGGCTATTTACCTCATCAACTCCCACGAAAACCTCCTTATCTTTATGGAAATCAACTAGATTTCTCTTAGTTTGCTCAAAATCCAAACTAATGAACCCCTATGTCATATTCTCAAATTGTTTCATCTGCAAAACAGGTCCTTAAAGAAGTCTAGGTTTCTAACCAAGAAATTAAAGATTTATCCTGGACTTCAACTAGAAGTCTATGATTTAATAAATAATATTTGGAAATCTCATCTATCTCAAAACAAAAAGTAGCTTTCCAGAGTCTTCTTTCATCTAAATCTGTTAAAACAACAAAATATAGATTTCTTTGCTTTGAAAAAAAATCAATATTCAATATAAGAAACAAACAATTTCTTGTCCTTTTGTGAATATTTTGAAAATCGAAATTCTCCAAAAATACAAAATTATATCGTATACTTTTTTTCGAAAAAGCTACAGTATTCCTAACAAAGGAATTATTTCAATAAATCAATATGCACATCCTTCAACAAACAAAAAAACTATTAGTTGAGAAATTTTCTTATTTTTATTTTGCCTCCTACATCTTCATCACAAAATTAGGAGATCAAATTCCCAAACTCAAATTTAGATTAAACCATAATCCTTTCGATATAACCAGTATCGACTTAGGAATTGTTGGAGAAATTTTAGTTTAAAATCTTTCCTTTGAACTAATTAAAGACTTCCCAACTTTTATCAAACACCATTTTCACCAAATGACAAAATATGCTAAACACTTTTTCTATATCCATTTTCGTATAACCAATCTCCTTGGAATCCTTCAAAGAGAAAGATTCTATCAACCTTATCAAATATGGGAAGCACAAAAAATTTATTCTGGCAATCTCTTGGAACCACCAATGGATGCTCTTGAAAACCCAGATGACTTAAACAAAGTCATTCAAAAATATTCTAATCCTTCTCAATATCAATTCCAAATAGGGATTTCAATTATGCAAAGGGCAAAAACCTTGCTTGATCTTGCCACCAGATAAATCTATCCAAGAATTGCTGCATGGACTGATGGCAGAAAAATTTTTGTATTAAAATATTATGCTCCACTTAAAGATCTAGAAATTGAACCAGAACCAGAAGCATTAAAACTCCTGCATCAACTTTCAGAAATGGAAGATCTTGACCATCCACAAGAAATTCTGTATCAATATCACGAAGGATGGCAAATGTGGAACAAATCCATAATAGTATCTCCTCAATCCTACAACCTAGAGGATGAAGAGTTCCATAATCTAGATAACAGGTTTGAAGGATAAGCTATTCTAAAGTAGAATAGGCATATTCTAGGAGCTGCCGACAGAAACAAACAAAGCTGTCTGCGAGCCCAAAAACAACTGACAAAATCATTGTAGTATTCAGTAACCTGATTTTGTATATACTGTATACGACTTCCTAAAGTATCGTATAAAGCAATACTAGGATTTGTCAAAGATGATTTTTCTAATTTAGTTTTTAGAAAAATAGAGTAATTTTGAGAATATAATTCATCCCATGGTGAGAGAAGTTTATGAAAATATTGTTCTAACCAGAATTTGGAATGTTCTTCATCTAAACGCTGATATTCACTAAGATATTTTTTGGAAAAGTCATCCAGGTTTAGGATGTTGCATAATTTAAGTTTAGAAAGAATATATTGAGCTTCATTATTAGCATCAACTTCTTCCATCATCCCACACATTTCATTTTTTATGATTTGTGTAAGAAGTTTTAAAAAAGCAGATATAATTGAATGAATGCTCATATCATAATCTTGTTCTTACCCAATCAAGCAGATTTTGAGCATCCACATTTGAATTGAAGGATGAGTTTCGCTGGCCACTTATCAGCTCCAGAACCAAAACCCCGAAGCTGAAAACATCTGCCTTCACTGATAGATGTCCACGCATAACGTACTCTGGTGCCATATATCCACTGTTTCCAAATATTAAAATCAATATAACTTTGTTAAACCAACACCTTAGGACAAAGGAATGGACATTATAAAATTACCAAAAGGTCCCAAGCATGTTGTAGACCTTGTCATATTATTGAATAAGAGGATGTCAGACAACATACCTGGTACCAGCTACACGGGTACTGACATGCGTTCGATCCTCAGGGAAAAGGCGAGCCATGCCAAAATCAGCAATTTTGGGGACCCATTTATCATCCAGTAAAATATTACTTGCCTTGATATCCCGGTGAATGATGCAAGTGTGTGAGTCTTCGTGAAGGTAGAGCAAACCCCGTGCAATGCCCATAATTATATCATACCTCCGCTTCCAGTTAAGCTCTTTTCTATTTGATTCTACATAAAAAGACCATCACCACCATGATTACCATAATTACTAGAAAAGTACAATGATTAATTCTATTCATACCCATAAAAATCAGTGCAAAATCTATCATGTTACTTGTTTATGTTCTTAATTTGTAATCAACTTAATTTTCAAATTAATGTGGTTAAAACCTGGTGATCAGTTGCACTCAGAGAAGCCAAGTTTGTTCTAGCATTGGTCAACAGATTGTTTTTTCCGGAGTATACAATCCAAGTTCATACTATAAAATTTCTAAGGAAAACCAGAAAACTAGAAGAGAACGAAAACTTCTACAGGGCATTTAGCCACGATACTTGCACAAAGTCTGGAGGTTAGAAACTAACACTGTTATACCAAGATATATATTTGGAGGGTACAGATACAACATACTGTGATAGAATTAAATCTATAAGAAAAAGAATAGATAAAGCAAATGTGCTGAAAAAGAGGGGCGGGGACATAAAAGCAGCACCTCAAGGTTCACTCCTTGATGGAATCCATCCACATCTGCTTCAAATAACTTTATTAAACTCCTACAACTCAGCCTACTCTTCGTTCTCATTATCATTACATTATACATGCAACCGGTGTTTCATGAAACAGATCTTTTGACTAGTTAATGATTAAAAATTTGATAATAAATGATCATTTTCAAGCACCCAATCATAAAAATAAGTTTCATAAAAGGAAGTCAAGCAGAACTATCATTGATCTCCATATCTACTATCATTTAGAAATATTTTTGCATGTCCCTGTTGATGGTTCATCATCGCCCCTAGTATAGGTTTGAATTTCAATTATGATTAGGCACATACTCAATGTTACTAAGGGGACCAGCCAGAAGTTGGAATTTTAGACTCCAACTTAGAGGTCTCAACTCTCAAGTTCAAGCCTGGAATGAGAGGGGTGGTTTTAATGGCATGGGAGAGGATTACTTCCTATTGCGTAGCCCAAGATCATATGCACCAAAAATAAACATAATAGACAAACAAATGTTGTATCTTTGAACTGCATTTTACACAATCTTTCTAAAATGAACACATAAAACAATTTAGTTAAAACGCAAAAGTGAGAAATAAAATTAACTATTGCCTTCTATTCACTACAACATTAGTCTTGACATCCAACAATTGGTGGCGGGACAGAACAATCATGAGTTAAAGCCTTCCAACTCAATCTAACTGCTAATTTCTCATAATCTAACACCTTTTCAAACTAAAATTTTAACAATATCTCCTTCCTATAAACATAAGTGTTCATTCTCTTCTAAGAACAAACATTCTGCCTCATCTCTATTGCTCAATCCATATTGTTATAAAGATCTTTGAAATGAGCATTTGGAGTTGTCAAACTAGCCTGATTTTCTTCTTTTGAAGGATGTTTGAAACAGATGGTGGCATATATTAATCCCTTTTGGGTTCTAATGCAAGTGGCTCAACTTAGAACTTCCACAAATTTGGAGTAAAAAAGAAAGAAAAAGAAATAATAATAATAAAAAAAAAACTATAGTTCAACATAGTTTTGTAACCAAGACCATAATTGCAACCATTTTTCAGAATGTTAATTTAGTAACTAACTTTTATCTCCAGTTGGTAACTAGTCTAGGCCAGAGTTATCTAATTCGCTAACTACCCCTCCATATTATGAACTGGATCACACGATCTGAAACATGGACTGGCAGTGATCTAGTTTGCAAAATCAAGCAATCCTTTTACTAGAAAATGAACTTGTACTTTAGAGACTAATCTTCCATTAATAGCTTCTTGAAAATACCTTCCTAGTGGTTTAGTCAATTAAGAAGAAAAGAATTGGTTGCTAGAGGAAGACAGAAGCAAGGGAAGGAGAAAAGTTACTATTCCTTCTATGCATGGCTATGGAAAATTCTTCTAAAAAAATTAATTGCTATTATTTCTAAAAATTAAAGTTAATTATTTTAATTAACACTTAATAATGAATATATAAAAATAATTGCAACATTCCCACAGTTCCGAAAGATCAAATTTCGTTCCTACTAAGTGAACCGAAGAAGGCTGCCCCCAATTTACCTTGTTCCGGGTAAATAGAGAATTACATTCTGATTGCTGTTCTGCAAACCAAATCGATCGGCGTTTCAGGTAACTCTGATCTAGGCCAAGCAATGTTTCGTTTAGAGGTTTGAAAACTGGCAACGGCAACAACACACCCACATACACACACTCAAAGTATCTAAGAGAAGAAACACTAGATTAAAAAAAGGGAACAAAAGAGAAACAAACCATCTAGTTTCTAGAATAGAAAGCTAAAAATCTTGGTTGGTATTGGAATTACTCTATTATACCTTATTCTGATTACTAGAATCTGCATTGGAGCATAGATGAATAAGTGGTAGAAAATAAAAGCGGAAAACAGCAAGGAAATTATGGCAACTTACTGAAAAGAAGCTTGTCTAGACTCTCATTGGTGACATACTCATATACCAAAAGTTTTTCCATGCCATGTGCACAGTAGCCCAAAAGATTAACAACATTGCGATGCTGCACACGAGCTAGCAACTTAGCCTCATTCTCGAACTCCCTTTTACCCTGATTTGAGCTATGAGATAGCTTCTTCACAGCAATTTCTCTTCCGTCATCTAATGTCCCCTATAAATTAAGGAATAACCATCAAGTTGGTTAAATTCCTCACTGTCTAGTTTGAGTAACAAAAGACATCAGCATTTTGAAACCAGAAAACTATTTGAGCAACATGATCAGAATGCTTGGTGAAAGTTCTGAAAGCTGGAAGACCAACAGCACTAACAAAAAATTCTAGCTTCTTGTGCAATTTCAATTAAAATTTTGTATGCTTTGCGTTCCTTTTATCAGCAGAGATGAGATTAATCCAAAGGGGGGAAACAGCTCAATGGTTAACTGGCTTGAGTTATTAGGCTTATTTTCTGTTGTTTCTATTTTTCATATGCAAAAGTCGAAAATTCTTTTCTTTTTTTTTTTTGAGAGAGGTGCCAAAGTTGAAACTTTGAATACCTAGAAAAGTAAAAAATTTCTCCTTAAAAAGTATCTATAACAATGCATTTGTATGATATGAATTATACTCCTAGTGTATACAAAAGACTATTCAATTAATAAAAAAACCAATCAAGTTCAGCAAAAGTTTCCCTCAATTTTCTAGGCAACCAAACAAGAGTTTCATTTGTGGGAGCTTACCCTGTAGACAGGTCCAAAACCCCCTTCACCAAGCTTGTGTTGAGGGTGGAAATCTTTGGTAGCAGCAACTAACGTCTCGAAAGGGAAGTGCTTTTGCTCTCGTTTAGCTATTTTCTTCAAGTCGTCTTCATTCTGCCTCTCTGATCACAGGCCAGAAAACCCAGAGATCATCAAACAATGTAGAAAAGCATCAAACTTTGTTTTTTATTTTTTTTTTCCATAAACCTGGGTTTTTCATTTTACCTTTGCCTGAGCTGAATTTGAATGATTTAATTAGATTTCGAAAGAAACTCTTGGATTTGATCATGGGTTTTGAAACTTGGAACTTGTGAAATTTAGAAACTAGACCACGAAATGGAAATAATTAAAGAAAAAAGAAACTTTTCTGAAGTGAATTTGGCTTCAGATGAACTAATAAATTCTTACTGGAGCTTGAAGAGTATGATGACAGAGCCAAGGTAGAAGATTTAATTTTGAAAAATTATTTGTTTTTGTTTCCATTTTGTTTGTGGTGGGAACAGGGATATATTGGATTTGGAATAGAGCGTTATTGACTAATTGCTTAACACATTTTCCATTATTTTAAGGTTGTCCCTTTTAATCTTTTCATCTTCTTCTATAAACTTTATTTTCAAATTTATTGATTTGATCGAAAGGTCAAACTACTTTAATTTCTAATTTGTCTGCACCTCAGTAGTCGCTCATATTGAAGGATACAAATCAGTCAAATAAAAATTTTAAGGTTTATAAAATAAATATTAATTAATTTTAAATTTAGATAAATGTTAAATAAATATGATAATTATATATATATGATATAATAATACAATAAAAATAATATAATTTAAAATTTTAATATATATAAATTATAAAATATATATTACGTATTAAATTTATTAATATAAATTATGATATAATAATTTTTATATTTTATAAATATTAAATCAAAAATAAATACAACATAAAAATATAAATTATCAAATTTATATTGAAATAAGTAATTCTAAACCAATTTATTTATTTATTTTTTCAGTTGATACGATTGATTTTAGAAGTAGAAAAGCTTGACATGAGGCTATGAAAATTTATTGCATTAGTCATCGTCATTACACGTCAGGCAAAACAAAATTCATCTTGAAAAACTATAGGGGTAAGAGTTTCTTTCCACGAAGTAGACTTGGAGCGATACCCAATCACTCAAAAACAGAAGAAGAAAAAAAAATGATAGTCTTCAGGCACTTTGATGTTAAAAATGAAAATTGTGCATATCCAGATGAGCAAGTAATTGACTTGATAGGTGAGACCGCCAAAAAGTTCAACAGGTCAAGGTTTGGGGTCTCGATTAGCTTTTATAAACCATGCACGAAAGTCGCTGCCTATAAGTGCAAGGACATAATTGACTTTTCTCCTGGATCAGATTTACATTGAATTCAAACTAAAATATAATATAAAAAATTATCAAGTAATTAATTTAATTGATTAAAATTTATTTTTTTGATAAAAATATTTTGAATTTAAATTTTATTGATGATAATTTATTAAAATTATTTTGAATGTATAATTTATAATTATTTATTTTAAATTATTAGATATAATATATTTTATTTTAATTTAAAAAATTAAAAAACTTATTTGTTTTAAAAATTTTTTATTAAAAAAATAATTCCCGCTTATAATAGCATTTATATATTTTATTTTGACTCTCTTTTTTATCATTTTCATGAATCGTTGAAAGCTTAATTTTTTTTTAATAAAAATTTCACATCACTTTACGGATAAATTTGGATGTAATTACATCTCCAATAAAATATATTTAAAGATCCAAAAATCATTAGTAAAATGCAAATGATAGTTTATTAAAATACGTTCGATCAACTATAATATAAATTTTTTATTAAAATTTTTAAATTTAATATAAATTTTTTAATCGTGATTATAATAATATTTATTTTTATTTTTAATTTTATTAAAATTAATTTTATCATCATCTTATAAATTAATATTTTTTTAGATGAAGCACATATTTTTATGAGAGAGAGTGGTCTTTTGTTCTATAAACTTGAATATAATTTCAACCGTTGAAATTAATTCACTGTTGGTAAAAAAAAAAAGGTCAGTGGTCTAATAGCACCGAAAAGGGGAGTTTTGAAATGGGCAGATAACCGCAGAACATGCTTTGGTTTGGTGGGGCTGGAGCTGCCCAAGGGGATTGACATTCATTCAATTTGGATGCATGCTGAGAAAAAAAAAAAACCAAGTAAAAGTTCGAGCCATGGTATTGAAAAAAAAAAAGGTGAGAAACAACGAAGAAAGCTGGTCTTAAAATTGAGGGTACGGGGGAAAAAAATAGGGCAAAAGTAAAGGAATAGTCCTAAAGCAAGAGCCGTCTGGAATAGAAGTTCCTTGGACGCGGTCAACGAAATTGGCACCTGCTGATTAGGAAACCTCTCCGGTTTTTCATTAATAAAAAAAACTGCATGATCAAAATACACATGGTTATTAAGAATGGAAATTCACGGAAAGAGAGAATAATAAATTGAAAGAAACCATGACTCCATTTGAATGGACCAAAATTTGGCTTTTAATAAAAATTATTTAATTATAATTAATCTTTGATATAGTTTTTGATAATCTTTGAAATAAATTTGATATCCGTTTTAAAAGTTTGATAAAATTTTGATAATTTTTAATATTGTTTTAATAATTTATGATATAATTTTAGTAATTATTGCTATAATTTTGATAAATTTTTTTAGAATTTTGACAATCTATTGATATAATTTTAATATAATTTTGATAATTTATGTTATAATTTGATAATAATCGATATAATTTTGATAATATTTGATAAAATTTTTATATTTTTTATATAATTTTGATACTATTTGATATATTTTTTAATAACCATTTATATAATTTTGATAACTTCTGATAATAGTTTTGATAACCTTTTATAAAAGTTTGGTAATATTTAATACAATTTTATTAATCTTTTATATAATCTTTGCCACTTTTATATTATTTCAGTTAATTATGCTACAATTTTGGTAATCATTGAAAAAAATTTAATAACCTAGATATAATTTTGCTAATCTTTAATAAAATTGTAATAATTATATAATTTAGACAATCACCAATAAAATTTGATAGCTTGTATATAATTTTAATTTTGATATCCTTTAATATTAATAGTTATAAAATTATATTTTATATTAATTAATAATAATACTTTTAGTAAAAAAATGTTTTATATTTTGATAATGAGTTATTATAGTTAGAGTGATTAATTTTTTTAGATAATACATTAAAGAGTATTACAAGTTTTGTTTAGTTTTAATTTTTTTAATTAATTTTAAAAATTTATTCTAGACTGATGGATTAATATTTCATTCCAAATACTAGCTTAAATTATTTCTTCAGTCATTTGACATGTTATTAAAGTTAAGATTTAAAAGTTACAGTAAATTTGATAATTCGTGTCATTATATTGTGTTTTACACGAAAATTTATTATTACAGATTGTATTGACGCGAAAATATAAAATATAATTTTTTATTTTATTAAATTTATTTATAATTTTTTTTTAATTTTAAATTATTTTATCTTTATATTTTTTATTTATATTATTTTCGTATCGTGTCATATTTTAAATTATTAATCTAATTACAGATTAAAAAAAATTCAAACACATAATATCTTTTTTAATAAGATATGTTGTTGGATAAAAAAATTTAAAGGAGATTAAAATATTAAAAAAAAAAGTCGAATTGTGCTTAACAAAGAAAATAAAAACTCTTTTTACTCCCTTACGTTTGTGACCAAATGAGCTAGCCCTTGGGTTTTAAAGAAGTTAAGTGCAAACTATTCAGACAGGCAAGCTTACCATCCACAGAAATTTTACGTAAGTACAGAAAATTCTACATATTTCAAGCAATTATGCCGCATTCTTTTTACTGAATATTTTAAGTAAATTGTTTATTCCTATTGGATTAAAGACTTGAAATCTTAGCCTGAATGGTTTAGGATTCAGGAATCACGCAGATTGAGCAGGTCAAATGCATCGTTCCCCCATCAGAAAAAAGGCTCTTCAATCGCAGGATCCAGTAATAACCTTCATTCTGGAATCAACCCGTAAATCCCAAGAATCAGCTCCTGGATTTTTGTCTGACTTGCTCAAATATTAAAGCTTTGGTACACCAATGTACTGTTAGTTTAGTGGGACCAAAGTGGATTTCAGAATTGAAATTTTCTAATCTAAATCCAAAAGACCAAAAATAAGTTTTGTTGCATGAACTTAGAGGCCATCTTTACCTCACAACTCCAATTCACAAATAAAATGAATCGTCATAATTAAGCTTTTAAACTGTGCCGAAAGCCGTTAAACCATGCCGATCACAATCATTAGAGAGCACAGTTGCTTTCTTCTACCAGAAAAGTGAAGGAAACAATGCTTCATAGAAGGCTGCCTTCATCAATTGATACACGTAAGAGAATAAAAAAGAGCACTTTTTAGATGTAGGTATAATTTGGACCAGCTTAAAATTCTGTATAATGTGACTCCATGATTACCACCCTGCAAATCCTTTGATGAGAGCAACTTCCCCCAAAGTTGAATCATGTTCTGTTTGATGTTGCTTTAGCGTGTTAAAAATCGGCGGATCACTCTCAGTTTCACCCTATTCTCTGCTTGCTGTTGGCCTGACAGAAATGCATTCTGTCATCTGGTTGTATAAGTATCGGAAGGTGTGTTTAATTTGTATTACTAAATTAGGCTGATGCATTCAGTTGGCACCGATTATGACAGCTTGATTGATGAGGCTTTGCATATGGTAAGAAAAGAGGGCACAAGTTTTGAAAGATTAAAAGAGATCTGATAGGATAGCAAAGGTAACTGGGTGATTCAGCAAGCCCTGGACTCAAATCTCGCAACTTATAATTTTTTTTATTTTCAAATTACGGCTTCTTTTATATTAAAAATAAAAATCAAGGTGGCTGCAGCGAAGGTTTAATGTGATATATAATAGTGTTAGCTAGCTCAGAGGAACAACTGCAGCGCAGCATCAGCTTGCTTATCATTTATAAAAAGAAACTAAAGGAAGATGGAACATGGATGGATAATTGATGATGTTAATTTGCATCAAATTGCATAAAGGGAAATTACAGTTCTTTTTTATAACGTAAAGTTTGTGCACTTTGAAAGCCTGCATCAAGATGCAACAGCACCCTCAAGCTAATAGGATATGGTTTTAGCTGTGAGACCAACCAGCTTCTATTTTTTTTTTCCCTTTTTTGAAAAATTGCATCGAGTATTTGATTGACAAACTATTGTTGGCCTGTCAGGTGTTGGTTTATGCTTGAAGAAAAATCAATTGTGAAAGCAATCTTTGCTTCTGATTCTGAATATAATATTTCACTGTTATTTTATACTTTTGTTTTTGTACATCTACCTGACAACCTTTGTCATGGACTTTCGAACAAGGAATATATATATATACAAAAAAAAAACAAAGGAACAGCTCCAAAACAGTATAAACAAACACTCATTTTATATACTTACAGATGGATGCATGTATTACATAAGAAACTCAACATTCTCTCAAAATAATAGACAGACCCACCAGATGATGAAATGATGCAAAAGATGAGAAGGAAAATGGGGTTACTTACCCTTTCTTTCCCTTCCCTGGAAAGATTATAAAAAATGACAAAAAGAGCAGCCTAGTTCTAACTGTCTGAATAAACTAACGCTATGCATCTGGCACAGGAATCTTTGTTGGATAACTCCAGCTCTGCAGGCCAGGCCCTTTCTCACAACATACAGATGACAGCTTGGCTTTCACCTAATTAGCTTGCAACATGCATACACTTACCATCCTCCTTTTCCTCAAAAAGGTGATGAAGAGCTGAACCCACAAAAATGTTGGGATTACTTGGACACTGAAACCGGGAAAACGCAAAGGGAACATCACAGACTTTCAGTTTTTCAGTCCACCAAGATCACCAAACAGAGCAGGAGCCTCCCTCTCCAGCAGGGACTCGAAAATTGTTGAAAATGTTGAAGTGTATTGGCGCCTGTATCTTTAATCATTGCCTAAGTTGGTGTTTTTCTTTTCTAATCCTAACTTTGTAGCGGTTAAGCAACTCCAATTGAGCATTCCACAATAATCAAGAACATAAAATCAATAAAGAAATAAGTACCATTACATTTACAACTGAAAGGTAGAAGTAACAAGAAAATATAACTCTATGATATGAATACAAAGAACAGCAGATTAAGATTTACCGATTAGCCTTCCAAGTGTATTCTGCCTAATGCAACTACATAGCAGCATCTCCAATACTCCTTACTCGGAATTCCACACTCCTCAAATCGCGAAGATGTTGTAAAATCTCTTGAAGAAGGTAGATTCCTTTATCTCCTTTCCTCAAAGAGCTGATACAATGCTTCAGAAACTCCCTATCTGCCTCAAGTGCTTGTAGCCTCTCATAAACATAATCCACCTCTTCCTCAATTGCAAGCTTTTTGTACTCTAGTTCAGAGTTGGCTGGTGAAGAATGTTGCAAGGCAACAGAATCAAAGCCATTTTCATGTCCGTTCAGTATCCCATCTTCAATTTCTGCATCAGTGGCATCAAAAAGAGGGAGAAGTCTCTTTGACTTTGCAGCCATGAGTTTTTTCTCTTGGTCATGTTTCCCATTCACTCTCTTGAAATGACTATTGGCAACCCCATTTGTTTCATAGCTGAAATCAGAACTCTCATGGAAGCCATTACCATTCTCTTCATATAAATACTCAACTGATTTTATATCCTCAAAATGTTGTTCGTCTTCATCATTCAGTGAAACCAATTTCTCTTCCAAAACTTTGAGCTGCTCTAGAATTGATTGCCTCTCTTCCTCAAAGTTAGCCAATGACTCCTCCAAATATAAAACTGCATCAGCAGGGGTGTTCTGGTTGCAGTCCTCTTGACGGTTGTCAAAGCTATCTTCTTCCTTTGGTTCATGATTCAAATCAACTGATAGTCCATCGCTATCCTCAGCATTGCTGCAAGATGTAGAAGTTGCGCTCCTAGTGCTGTCATCTTTCCTTCTTCTCAGCATTATCATTTTCTCTTTGGCCTCATAATCCTGAACCTTCCTGCGATATATCTCCAGCTCTTTTTCAAGCTCTGCCTTCTCTTTCTCTCTCTTGACCATAAGCTCATTCAATAGCTGCAAGGCTTCCTGATCATACTCAGACTGTTCTTCCATCATCCTCTGATACTGTAAGGCTTCCATCTGCATTGCTGCCTTCTCTTCTTGAAGCCTATTTATCATTGCCATTGTCTGGTTTGCTGCTACAGCAGAAGCACTCCTCTCTTCCTCAAGTTCTGTATACAAAGCATTTAAAGCCTTCCTTTCAGCTTTTAATGCTGATTTCAACTTCTCAACGGTCAGTATTCCATCAGCACCCTCAATGTCACTAAAAACACTTCCATCCAATGAATCTTCTGTTCCTGATTCTCTTCTGTCAAGCAATAGCAACTTCTTATGCAACAGGTGAAGACTGTCTATAGAAGAGGGTGTATCAGGAACTTTATCTTCCTCAATCTCATTAAGCTCTGAAGATAGTGATAAATGACTTTTTATTGCTTCGTCAAATGTCTCAACTGTTAAAGTTTTAAACTGTATTGTTTCTTCCTCAGCATTCTTGTAGTCTACGTAAAGGAACCCGAGATTAACACATCAAATAAAATATTAAAATTAAAAAAAAATTCTAAATTTGAAATTAAGGCTTACCTTGATCAGCATCTGCATGCAGTTGAGCAGAACTGGTGGTGGGATCTTCTTGTGTGCAATCATACAAATGTTGCATTTGAAAATCTTCAATTGGTTCATGATCAAGAATATCTTTCCCTATTGAAATCTCTGCTTCAATTTCATCATTTTGCTCATCAGAAACTGCATAAATTTGACAAATTGCTCAAACTTTTAAACTTGATAATTCAACAATAGCCATTAGGTAAAATTCAAATCATTTGGATTAAACAAGTACCTTGATTGACATCTTCATCCATTTCCCTTTCTCCAGTTGCTGCATTTCTTCGAACATCAGATTCATTCAAAGAGGCCGGAGTTGCTTGAGTGCTAGCAACTTGCTCATCTTCCTCTCCTGCATGCATTGAAAAGCTCTCCTTCCTCTCATTGGGCTCCACTGATTCAACTACTGCAACACTGGTTTCATCCTCACTTTCATGGGCTGAAAGTAATGCCACTTTCTCTCCTGAGCTGCACCTATTCTCCACATTCAATTCCACCAGTGTCCCAGCATGCAAATCAAAATCCAAAATAACATCTCCATTACCAGAAATACCTTGATCTTCCTCTCTAAACGTGTATATTCTTTGGCTTTCTACTGCAATAGAATCCATCAATTCAACAGGAATCAAATGACAGTCATCCCCCTCGATGTAGAACTCCAGATGCTTAGGCAGAATTTCAGGAGACTCGTCGTCTCTACAAGCGACTTGAGTCAACAGCTGACCATCCATTGACACATTTAAGTTTCCTTCTTCTTTCATTGACACTTGATCTTTCTGTATAACCACATCATCTTCATTAGCAGCCATTTGGTTGCAATCGAAACTAGAAATAAAACATGAGAAGTCCTCCTCTTTTTCCAATTCGCTTCCTTTAACACCCTCACCACCACCATCAGAAATGATCTGAACTCTATTGTTTTCTTCAATCCTCTGTTCATCTTCCTGATAATCAGCCACAAAATCTGATCTGATCCCATCTGAAGCATGACCTTCATCTGCAAAATCATCAGCTCCTCCAGCTTCAGTAATTAAATTTCCTTTCTGGGGATAATCCAAAACCTCCCAAGAAGGCCTAATCAGGAGATAAGGAAAGTTCCACTTTTTCTCCAACATGACACCACAACAAGAACACTTGAAATTCTCTTCACCATTTTCTATCACTTTATCACCACCATCCTGGATTAAACCAACCTGCTTCATACATGGAAATAAAGCTAACTTCTTTGACAAGTCACAACAATCCGACCGTGATGAGGACAAGCAATCCTCACACATATCTTGAGATTCTGCTAGTTTCCGATGATTTGAACAATAACCCAGTTTAGAAATCTCATTGGCATGATCATCACACACAAGATCTCTAAAAGAATTCATGTGTTTTGATGGCTCAAAGATATGATCAAGCCTAGTACACCAAAGGCAAGGTCTTTTAAGACCAAAGTAATCAGCAAATTTAATGATAAGATAAGAAAACAGAGAATTGAGAAGGAGGAGAACGATCAGAATCCACTCTAGTAATGTGTAGACAAGAATAAAAGTGATTCTGTTCGTGTTTTTATGCAACATGGTTGCAAATTTGTTGGCTGCCATTAATGATGCTCTCTTTGCTGCTATGTACAGAGAGATTTAGGAGTTGTCAAAAGGGACAAAACAAAAAAACAAAGGAGTGTTAGATAAGAAGAATATCAAGAACTTTGGTTTCAATGAGAAAGAGAGGAAGAAAGAGTCTGGAGAATGAAAAGAAGGAAAATTGAAAGTGTTTTCAATAAGAACAGAAGAGAGGACGCAGAAGGGGAGGTGGTTTTATTTAGACTATAAAAGGCAGTCTGAATAGGGATGACAGCCAAAGAAGACTCAAAGCTGAGGAAAATAATTAAAGAACATTTCCCACATACTACAACCATTGAAAATCTTTGAGTCTGAGTAAATAAAGGAATTTTTTTTCCCTGAAGATCAATCTAACAAATACTTTTGAAAGAATGAAGTAGCCATTAGAATCTCAAACAGCTAAATAGATTTTTGTAGAAAAAGGGCAGATTTTATGTTAAGGAAAAAAAATTATATTTGTTTGGGTGAAAATTTTTTAGCTTAAGCCTGGTTGAAATGGATTAATGGAAGGGCAGAGACTAAATATGGACAGAGCCAGGCCAGCCCCTTGCCTGTCCCTCCAGTCTGGATTTTTGTTTGGGCAAACAAAATGAGATGGCCCACCAAACCTTACAAATGAGTTGGTGGACCACACTCAAAGTTAACTGTGGGGTCCACTTACGAAGCCAGGTTGCCAGATGCTCCTTCTCCATTATGCACGTCTATATTTCATGAACATGTATATATATATATATATATATATATATATCTATATAATTTTTTTAGTATGGGGAAACTTTTATCCAACTGTGACGTCTTATTCTTACCAGGCAAATGCATTATTAAATTCATTTTTTTTGTTTGTTACTTTTAATGTTTAATAGTTAGTTTAAAATTTGATTAATTTAAAATTAAATTAAATTAAATTTTGTAAAAAAAAAATTAATATCTATTTTTTTTATAAAACTTAAAATTAATATTTTATTTAAAAAAATTAAAATTTTAATCACTCAAATTAATAGACGTTAGTATTATTAAATTCAATTTCTTGCTTTAGATTCCTTATTCTTATTTTAGTAGATTGCTCGTTACTCTTCTACTTATAAGATAGTACTAATTTTACCATATAATTTTGTCTAAAATAGGTTCTTGCACTCAATATTTGATCATTTTTTTTATCTTGAAAGAAAGATATTTGAATTTTTTATACGAAAATATATATTTATTTTTAGATTTAATATTTAAATACGTAGACTTGATTATTTAATTTAATAATAAAATATATATTTTCGGGTTCAAAGAATGAGTTTGAATTGTTTTTTTCTCTCTATATATGAATATAAAGTAATAATAGCGAATTTGAAATAGCTGAGGTAAGTACATAAATAAAGGTCTCTTGCAATGAGCATCATTTTTTTAAATTGAGAATTGATTTTTTTGGTATTTACTAAAGGAATTGATTCCCAACTTACAATATGGGCTTTTTTTTTTTTTTTTTGTAACCTTATGACCTGCATCAAAGCAATCAATTGTCTAATTAAGAAAATTTTCCTCAGTAACTTCTCATTGAATTACAAATTGAGATGATCTCACTGAGTCGTCTTTTTCCTTGAAATTAGAATGCCTTAACAAACCGAAATGCCTACCAAGTTTCATGGGTAGGCCAAGGCTGCACCGACACCGTCTTCACTAGGGATGGCATCGGGTCGAGTTTGGGGCGGGTTTTGCTCGCCCCGAACCCGATCCGATTTTATGCTCATCAAATCCGATCCCGATTCGAATTATTTTAATACCCGAACCCGATTCGATCCGATAATATGTAAATCGTACACGATCCGATCCGACCCGAATTAATAAAATATTATTTTTTAAAATATAAAATATTATTTTTTAAATATAAATATTTAAAAATATCATTATATAAATATATATAATTAATTAATTAATTAAAAAATAATTTTTTAATAATATCGGGTCGGGTTTTAGACATACCCGAACTCGACCCGACCCCGACCCGAAACCCAAAATTCAAAAAAAAAATACCCGACCCTATAAATCGGGTTGGGTGGGCCGAAACCCGTCGGGGACAGGCTTGATTGCCGTCCCTAGTCTTCACCCACTCCATTCTTATATCTCCTTTTCCCTTTGAAAATTGAATCTTATAATTTTTAGTTAATATTTTTATAAAAAATATCGTATAAAATCTGAAAATTTAAAAAATTATAAACATTAAAATTATAAGAGTAAGTCATCAATTCATATGTGAGATTTTTAAATTTTTTTGAAATTTTTTTAAATTTATAAATCGCTTACTACTTACATTATTTATGTCAACTCTTATTTTAAAATTCGAGTATTTTGTGTTTAAACTCTGAACTTTAAATACTTACCTCAATTTTTATTGATATTAAAATTTAAATTTTAAATCAATAGTTGTACAATCCAATTGATTTAAAACTTGGGTTGTTTCATTTAAGACATTTATTTTTTTTATATATAAATTTTTCTAAATACATGTATGTGTGTTTGTGTAATCATAATCATACATTTAAAACAAAGGATATTTATATATCTGCATGTAAATTAGGTCAAAATTTTTTTTTACATAATTCTCTAATCTTTAATTTCAAGGGGAACATCACTTGTATGCTTTGCCATGCTTTTGCTTTAGTCAGGCTTACACAAATAGTGCTTAATGTCTCATTTCCTGCCCCCACTGGCCTTTAACTCCCCAAATGCCAATCCTAACTTAAATTTGAGCAAGTAATTTAACCACTACAGATAATTTTGTTCCCTCTCTTTTACTTTAAATTGCATGATCAGACATAGAATTTTTTAGTTCAAAGGCTATAGGATTCCAGCTCAAAGGAAATATTAGAATAAAGTAAACAAAAACAAAAACTGACTTTTTTGCTGAAATCTTTTAACAAACCAATATCCTTTTTAGAGTGAAGGGAAGATAGTAATTTACTATTTAACTCAGAATTTAAGGGTAGATTTTTTTGTTAATGTGGATCAAATTTGAAGAACACTGTTTAAAAAGTAGAATAAAAGTTACATGAGATTTTGATTTTGTCCATCTGATAGAGCTTTTTCGTGATTTTTGACCAAAAGGGCAGTAAGGTGATCCCACAAAGGGAACCTGAAAATTTCTAATAAACCCTATACTTTTGTAATCAAATAAGCAGCCATTCATTGTTAAATGCATCCACTCTTATTTTCACATGAAATCCTGCATATTTCCGTAGTCAAAGCTTATGCTTTATTTTGAATTTATCAAAATTTGAAGAATGTATCGAACGAAATTTATGAATCCCTAATCCAAAAAAAAAAAAAAACTAAAATTTGATAAAAATTAATAAGAGATAATTTAATTTTGATAGTCTAAAGAGAATGTGGGACCCTTTGGGCATCATCCCGCACGGTTCGCGTGGCTATTAAGACATCATCGAAGAAAATGTTGAAAGTATATTTTGCTTAATCTTGTACTATAATCATAGGGTCCCTTGTCCCCTCATTCTCAATGATAACCAATAAAACTAAATTTTTTTTTTAAGCATTTGTGTGGAGAGGGACCGTATTATATTATTATTATTATTATTATTATTATTATTATTATTAAAAATATTCAATCCTACAAGCAAAGCTCGACTCGAAAAGTAAAAAGGGGGAATATAATAAATTATTATATATTGAGGCTGTTTTTCATAGGTAACTCATTAATTTCAATTTAGTAAAAATTTAATGTATTGCATGATAATTTGTCAAAATTGATAGAGGCATGCAATGTAAAGTTTAGTTTAATTAATTTAAATAATTATTTTTCAAATAATATTTAATAGTTTTAAATTTTAAATTTCAATTCTATTTCTATCTATCTCTATATATATATATATATATTACCTTCACTGTGCAGGGCTGAAGCATCAAAATAGAATCTATTTTCAGTTGAGATGAGCATCAGTGACAGTTGAACTGTCCAAATCTACAACTATTGTTACTATTCCAATCTACAGTAATATTGCTTCTTCACTGGGACTTTTTGGATTTTTCAAGCTGGACAAGCTTAAAAAAATTTGCTTTAAATATTTTTAATTTTTTGGTCATTTCCTTAGTTTACTTTTTTTTATTTAAATTATCAAAAATTCAAAGATCATAATGATTTTGAGATTGTTAAATAATTTTAAAAAATAAAAATTAATTATTAATTTTTTAATTAAATGTGATTGATTATATAAAAAAATTATTTTTTAATAAAATCTTAAAATTGATTAAAACATATTGAAAAACCTTTTTCTTTACAAAATCAATTTGAATTCGAAAATATAATTATATGTAAAAAATGATTTACACTCTCACGTTACTTGTTTCTAAATCAATGCCACTTAATCATATACTATTCTTCAATCTTAATAAAAAAATTAAATTTTATATTAAAAATAAAAATTTTAAAGCCCTTCCATCATCACAATTTTTTTTTATTTCATTTTCTTCATAAAATTGTTTTTTTAAATAAAAATTATTATTCCATTTTTATTTAAAAAATTGATAATATTAAAAAAAATTTTACCTAGAGATTTTTTAAAAAAATACTATTTAAAATTTCTTAAAATTTGATCGTAAAAGACTCCTATTTACTTTTTAAAATTAATTAATGCATATAAAATGTAAATAATGAAAATTTTAAAAATTAATTAATGCATATGAAATGCAAATAGTAAAACATTCATAAGTAGCTTTATTCTTTTAAGAAAAATCTTTTCCTTTTTTTCTTTTTTTTTAAATAATAAATAAATAAATAATTTTTATATTAAAAATTTTTTTAAATACCTAAATATTTTAATAATATTTTTTAAAAATATACTTATTTAAAAATTTTTAAAAAATTACTATTCGGATTTTCTTAACATCCTATAATCGAAAGTCTCATTTTTTAAGCATTTAACAATAAAAATTTTCATAAAAAAGTAATTATTATTATTTAGGGATGTTTATTTTAGTAAACATTATTATTTATTTCAAAATATATTTATTATAAAAATATTATTGACATAAATAATATAAATAAAATATAAAAAAATATAAAAATTGTGCCCAAATAAAATTTTGATGTTGAAAGCCGAAGTCACATGTTCGCTAAGCCAAAGTTTGAAGCCTAACAACTACAAAAAATGGACCTGGCGAATTGAGCTGCTGGAGTAGTTCGAGTCGACGGCTCCAGGTCAGGGTCAGCAATTTTTTTTTTTTTTTCACTTCACTTCACTTTCATCTCCCTCTTAAAAATTTTTCTCTTTCAAACCAAGCCCCAAACAGTCGCCAACCTTCAAAAATAAAACCAGAAGCCAGTGGCTTTTCCGCCATCGCCACCTTTAGTGTTGCCCGCCACTCATCGACGCCAGTTTATGCCCAAATTTCATCCACTTTTTCCCTTTGTCTCCTCTTTTCAAATATATAAGTAGTTTTTCCTAAAAACGCTTCTAACTTCCTAGATTTGATTTTGAAACCGGCAACTTCAACCCAAAAAAACTCTACCTTTCGCCGCTCTGATCGCAACCTCCTCATGTTTCTCCCCTTATCCTAGGCTCCCTCTCCTCTACAAATCGAACTTCAAAGCAGCTTGTAGCCCCCAAACCCAAAGCTTTCCTCCTTACACTTTTGTGATTTTGTTTTCCTAAAAAATCCACCTCCGCTTCTCTGTTTTAGTTTTCGATATTATAGCCAATTGGGATTTCAAATCCCAGATTTTCCGGGAATGGGAAAGTTTCAAGACGTCACCGGCGGCAAGAAACCTCGCTGGGTTTTCTGTTGCAAGGGACGGCTTTGCAGGGTTCTGTTGCTGTCATTGAGTTTTAAAAACAATTTCAATCACATTACAGGTTTCTTCAACTTTTAGCATTCCCATTTTAGGATTAGACAAAATTGCTTAAAGGGGAGGGATTGCCTGCCATGATCAAAAAGGGTCCGGCAAGAGGAGGATGGCTGTTTGGGGAGGGGTGGCAGTGACGGAGACGCCGTGTCTCAGCTGTTACCCATTTTTTCAATTTTCAATGCTTAATTTAAAAATTTTACCTAATTCTAATAAAATAAACTTGGGCTCTAAAATGCATTTTGGATGTTACAAAATAGATTGTGGGCTTTCATGCCCATTTGACCTAAATTAAATTGAATTAACTTATGCAAAGTGATACAAGTTCGAATGAGTCCAATTAAAATATTTAAATGGATCCGGATTGGGTAATATTTAAAATATATTCAAATAAAATTAGGTGTTTATAATGGATTTGAAACAAAATTTATTATAATTTAGTTGATTTTCATCCTTTGTTGAATTAAAAATCTTTTGAGTACATTTCTCCGAAAGGGAAAGTCTTGGATTCAAATTCATTTACTTGATTTTCATCCTTTGTTGAATTAAAAGTCTTTTGAGTACATTTCTCTGAAAGGGAAAGTCTTGGATTCAAATTAATTGATGGGAAAAAATTGTGATATTTCAAATTGAATGGATATATGCTAATGAGACATTGAGGTTCATGTGCATTCACATCACTGAAGGAGACAAGGGAAAAGTCATGATGGAAAATGCAAATGTGAATATCTAAAATTTGAAGTATATTATGATGGCCAAAATTTGACTGATTATAAAGTTTCATACATAATAATTTTGCAACCATCTTGCCTTTTTTTTTTAGCTATTTAAGAAATTAATTGAATTAAATTTTGAATTTAATATTAAATATTTTTCTGATATAAATATGTTACTTTTCACTGTTTCAGTGTTCTCTGATTGAGAAATTATTAATTTTGGATGTCATTTTTCCATAACTTTGATTTAGTTACATACTAACAAATTGGCTATCAACTACAATTGTCTTGATTTGCACTTTCAATTCTAATTCTAATGATGAGAAATCTTTTTTTTTTTTATGGATTAAGGGAAAGTGTTAAACATTAATAAAAAAAAAAAATCAAAGGGAGGGGACTAGAAATATATTTGGAAGAGAAGAAAGTAGTAAATTTGGGACCTATTTAAACAAGAAAATTGGTTCCAACAAATTGTTACAAACAATAAAGAAACCCCATTACTAAAAGTCCAAGTGTTGTCAGTGTCACAACTTAAAACTAAGAGGCAAACTTGTCCCCTCTTTATGGACCATTGACCTAAAAAAGCTAGCTTATATCTTAAATCTGAGACCATTCCTGGTATTCCAGGTCATGGGCATGCATGAGAAGATTGGATTGGTCCCTCATGAATTTTTGTTCTTCAATGTATACATATATGGAGGCACGCATCTGAGGGGAGAAAAATTCATCAGTCTTGGGTTTCTGCAAGATTCTGAGCTTTATTAATCGGTCTTTTTTCCAACAAAAAGTTCCATTCCTGAGAATATAGGTGCAGTGTTTTGTATTTTTAAACATTGGATTCTATGATTAACCGCATAATATAAGCAATAGGATACAAATGAGAAGTACAAGTAAAGATACCAAAAAAAAAGAGAAGGTGCTCAAGAAAGAATTAACAAAGAAATGGGGAGAGTGACTGTAATGATGGTGATTTGAGAGCGGTTGGAAGCGGTGGGACAGAGACCCCTTTCCTCGCTTCTCACTCTTTCCCTTGCTTTTTGCTTCTGGTCATCTCCTTTGCCTTTTGAAGAATCTTTGAATCTTTTATCCATCTCTCAAAGAAAAAAAAAATACTAAAGTGTATATATGCCATCTTATATGCTAATGATTTTTTTAATTTCTACAAATATTTTGAAGTAAGAGTAAATGGGAAATGAGGCAAGGATAGACAACATGCATTCACACAAAAAAAAAGGGGTTTTTTACTCAATGAGAAACATAGCATCATTAGCCCTCAAACATGCACATGTTACAGCAGCATACGAGTTATGATAACAATCATTAAAGACAATGAAGTGAATTGAATTGAAGTTGACCGAAGCCCCTTAACTTAGGCTACATATAATGGTCTTACGTTTGTCTGGCTTTTCAATAATGCACTCCGCTAAGCTAAAGATGGATTTTGGCCGATGGAAGCCTGCAGTTTGAAAACAAATATTCGTAATCAAAATTCCACTCAAAGACTGGAATTTATAGAATAAGAAAGGATCACCAGCAAGCCATTTTTATAAAGTTAAATAAAGTTCAATATCAAATGTATAACAAAAAAAAATTTTGAAAGGTGGGATTGAATTCGAGGCAGCCTAGGAGACATGATATCTAGAATCAAATTGTTCTCAACATGCATAACTTGCAACATGCTACAGGACCTACCTATTGACTGGTCAGCTCCATGTACAAAACATGAAACGTAACAAATACCTCTTTATACTCAAATCTTTGCTTTTACGAATCACATAATAATTTTTTATTGGATATATCAAGATAATGGCATCCTATGCTGTGATTTACAGTTTTGCAAGGGTTTGCATGACTTGATTATCTTCAGATGAACTTTGTTCTCTCATGCCAATTTATCAAAGGAAAAAGCAAATTTTCTTTTGTGAGAGAAAGCGGAGATAGGAGAATATATAGCTAACGCATGCAAATAATTACAGTAAAAGCTCAGAGTTAGGAAACTTTTTCAAAATTACTTGTATTTTGAATTCTATCAACTAGGTATTATTACATTTTTAACTACTCACTGACTTTTACAGCCCATACAAATGTAAGACCGGAACTGAAAGCCATTGATCCTGTGGGTAAAAACAAACTACAGTCTTTTCATCTCCGAAAGACACCGAAACCAACGGCACCGACCAAAATACACCAATCAACTCGTCACATTTAACATTACAATAGGACTGGGCTTCCAAATGGATTATTGGCATGTGGTTGACCAACAGGGGCCATTTGGTTCACCGGAAATGCCCCGAACCCTGCATCACCAAATGGATTTGATGGGCTGATCATCAAATGTTGCTGTTGCAGTGGCTGCTGATATGGTTGGTAAGCACCAAAAGGATTGTTTTGTCGAGCCATTGCGGCCATTTGAACTGCTGTAGGGGGAGCAATGTTATTTGACATGACAAATGGATCTTGTAACTCAAATGGATATGGAGCTGTAGCTCCATATGCAGGCTGCTGAGAAGCTCTATATGCTGCTTCATCGTACAAACTGTTTAGAGTGAGTGAGTCCAACCCGCCAGCCTGAAAATTATTGGCAATAAAATTAATTAGATAGTTAAACATAGTTTGCCAGGGGCACAGAGAGTCCTCGATGTATTTTCACTCAGACATTTATATCTCTCTTTCAGTTGCCGTACTGAATGATAAATGAAAATCTAATCTGAATTATGCTGGAAGAAATAAAGATACTTTCTAGTAAACTTGAACAGAGAAGTAAAACCAGAACTAAGAAACCCTAATTCCAAAATGAATAAGTGAATTATTATTAAGGCTTGGTTTCCCAAAATTAAAAATAAAAAAGTGAGCAGGTCTCTATTTTGTACAAATACACATATTTATATAACTTGGTAAGATTTCAACCAATCCCCACCTTCAATCATCCCAAATCTTAGCCAGTATATTCTCATATTTCCCAGACAACAAAAATACATAAGAACAGAATAAGTGAAAGCACAAAAAGGGCATACCAAATGCCTTTCAGTAGCTGCAGAAATATCAGTACTTGGTGTGGTGACAAGGGCAAGTTCCCATCCAGTAGGATCAAAATCTTTTGGTTGACCAGCATTGGAATTAAGTGTTGAAGCGGTACCTGCAAAATAAAATATTACACCTTCTTAGCTAATTGTGGCAACACCAAAGATCAGAAATAATAGCCATCAAATAAGGGGGAAAAAATAAAGAAAGAATAAGAAACATAGTTTACCAGAATCAATTGGTACTATGGCTAGAGCTAAAGCATTACTTTCCTCAATTGCCGAGGCATCAGGTGCAGAATAATTCAATCCCTGAACCCATCAAAATGCAATCAACAAAAGTGTGAAACAGACAAATAGGAAGCATTATGAAACTCCAAAGGAAACATTACAAGTAAGTCTCCAGTGTCCATGTTGGTCTGAGGTGGGGGAGGGGGAGGAGGAGCAGTCTCAACACTGGAAACTGCAACATCATCAGCAGGTGCAGATAGCTCAGGTTCATCATTGGATAATTTAGTATCTTCAGAAAGACCTTCCTCAGGTCTGTATGTTAATTGAAGCTGTATACAATGACACCATTAGTTCTATAGCATATATCAGTGCAAAAAAAATGCTGGACTCCAAGGCAATTCGAGAATTATTAGTTAAACACAAAAAGAGAGTGAAGAGGGGGGAAAAAGTTTCAAAGATCTTCCATTTTATGGATTCTAATATTGGGAAACAAGTTGTATATATATCAACTTTTGCCATTACATTTGCAACTAATCATGTTTTCTCTCAGCATTTCATCTAAGCTTATATTTGATTTGAGCTTCATCTTGTTTTGATACTACACTTTATAGCATCATTATCAACTTTTGTTTCAGATTAGAAAGCCATCTTAAGCACCCTTATCATATTTTGCACAGTTTATTTTAGTTCTATCCTCTCATAAGTACAAGCATTTCTTTTCCTATATAACCACTCATTTGCCTCTGCATTCTCACGGCAGAGATGCATTTTGAACTTTTTCACACAACCACGAATTAACCGATTAAAGTACAGCTGATCTAGACAATTTTCTCTCAACTCAGCTACAATCCTCTTATCATAAAACAATACCAACAATTCTCTTTTTCAATCTTCCAGATTTTATTCCACAAGATATTTTCATTTTCACCTATCTATTATGGATAATGAACTTCCACTATCAAAAGGTCACCTTTCTGCAGTCAGTGTCATAGTTTTCAAAGTAACATAGTATGTGTGCCTAGTCTGAGAATCAGTTTGCAGTCATAATTATGCATTGGAGATTTTGTAGCTTCTCAAATTAGCTGTTTCATATTCATTATGACAACAAAAATAGAAAGCAGTTCTTATATATGGAAAAAAAATCACCATAACTCAAAGACCACTCTGTTCTATATAACCATATATATATGTGTGTGTGTGTGCACGTGTGTGTTATCTGGAGTATAGTAAAAAGAGTACTAACCAACGGTTCTGTTGGAACAGAAACCACACGTGGTGCCTCTGTAATGTACTCTTCCATGGTAGCAAGAAAAGATTGTGGTGGCTGGAAGAAGGTTAGTGATCAATTAACATCAAAATGATTGAACACAAAATTCACAAAAGAGACTACTCAAAGAACAAATCAACTCCACAGAACCCATACCTCCCTGAGAGCAGGAAACTGGAAGTTCCTAAAAAATTCCAATCCTTTGCAAACTTCATAGAAATCAGAAAGGCTATTAGCCTGCATCATAAACATTAAATACATTTTACTAAGCCACCATTGCATTTAACTGACACTGAGACATCAAACCAGCCACAATTACAAACTAGGTGAGAAGGTAATCCAATAATCATAAAAGCAATTAATCAGATAAACATTTGACAAAATGTAATTGAAAAAAATTATATCTTCACCTGCTGACCAGCACGCTTATATACATCAAGAGCTTTGACAGCTTCATGTCTTGGCATCTCAAAAAACTGCAATAAAATCACAGCTTGAGCAGACATTTTGAAAAAGAAAAAAGAAAAGCATCTGCCTCGAACTAGGAAATTCTTCTATAAACAATAAAAAACCAGGTTACCTTGTCCACAATATTGATAATTCCACCATTAACAGCACAATATACTTTGAAGCTCTCCTTCAATACCTGAAAATTGCAATATTGTGAGGTTGAAATAATTTCGAATATAAAGTGCTGCCATTGTTACTTATTCTTATGGGGAGGTAAAGGGATTCTTAGGAGAAAGTATAAAAATACATTTCCCACATGTTCTTTTTAAGAAACACAGAAAAAACTCTCATATAATTTGGGAGATGCAGATGCAAAATGGGGTTTCAAAATCTTTTCTTAAATCTATAATTGTGAACATAAACCGAAGACACTCAAAGAAAAGAATATATCATAACCAATCAAATAGTTTTTTAAAAATTAAGAGATACTGCAATCTATGTCTTCTATTAACATCAGTGCTTGATAGGTATTTCACATGCAAGAAGCATAACTTCTAACATCAATCATGTGATAGGAAATTTATAAATTTGTGCTGTTTATCAATAACTACAAACTTCCTCCCCCTGCTCGTTAGTTGTTACTTATCAGTTGTCAGGGAAATAATTTTATGAACTTTGTACACCTTACACATGGAAAGTGAAAAACACTTTAATGACACATTTAAACTTTGAATTTAACAGAAGGAGAACCCAGACTCCGCTGGTAGAAAACTCAGAACAAGAACTTGGGACTAGATAAGAATTATATTGATGGTGCTAATTAATAACAAAATCACCACACCAGTTTGATAAATTTGCAAAGAAGTGCTTGACAGATACATTTTGGGATGCCTAGGTAGAATATGATTCAACTCTTCATGAGACACTCAAACAATGAATTTAACCAAAGGAAAACATCCAGACACCTGTAGTGATACATTTGAAATAAGATTTCAGGACCAGATAAGATGAAACAAATACATAACGAAGAAAGAGATAGAAAATATACCAGAGCTAAAGCATACTGTATAACATAGTTGCCGACAGCAGCACCTTCTGGCTGCAAAAAGAGCAGAGAAGTCTATTAACTTTCCAGATAGGGCGAAAAATATGAACAAATAACAGAATCTCAATATATTGAGGAAACAAAACTCAAATTCTACAAGATTAACATATAATAAAATACCCGGCAACCAATTAGACGATAAAGCAATTTCTGCAGAGCAGGCAATTGCTCCAACAATTCTTCGCTGCCCAACTCCCTGGTTCTGCTGTAATCCTGCCCATTAAAGAGAACAAATTTTGCAGCAGGCAATGAACCCACAAAGGGTAAAACCAAACACCTGTGTAATTCAAAAGAAAAAATATTCTAACAAGAATGATACATTATCCTGCCCCTGGGCAGGTCTTGGGAGACGCTCAGCTTCAATGTCGTACTTCAGAATCCTAAAGCATTCGAGTCTTTCTTCCAAAAACAATGCATATGTACGTACCCAGGCAGAGCAATCCCATGCTGAAGGGCATACACAAAAAAGGGGAGGAGGGAGTAAGCAAATCTATTGGAAGTTATTACTGGTGACCAGAAGACACATATAGAAGCACATACACATGTATGCATACACAAGCAAGTAGAGAGAGAGAGAGATTAAAAGCTCACCAATAGGGCTAGAATCATCCTTGAAATTAGAAAGTTGGAGAATGCGTGCTCTTTGTGAGAAGTTTAAAAGTTCTTCTCTGAAAGTAGGATCACCCTCCCTCAATGCCCTATGGATTACTATGAGTGTTTTCAATGCAACCTATTGAATAATATAAAAGGAAAAATTACAATATAAGTCAGTTTACCTATATCAAAACAAGGGCTAGACACTGACAAAGTGTAAAACATCAATGCAACTTATTTTGTCAATTCATAATTGGTAATTATGTGCACAGAAAGACTTGAGCAATTCAAGAACCATAAACATGCATTCTTGTCTGTTTAACAACTTTTCAGCATGAACCACTGCAGTAACACCCTCCCTCTGCTTATCTCTTCGCTCTCTCTCTCTCTCTCTCTCTCCAATGAATTAAGCAGGGAAAATGATCAGAAGCAGCCTTATGAAAATCAAGAAAAGGAATCATCAGAAGCAGCCATATGAAAATCAACGTCTAGCCAAAAGTATCGTACAAAGAAAAGGTGAGCAACAGTCTAGAAAACAAAACATGAAGGAAAAAAATGGAAATTTAGAAAATTGGATGAAATGTAATACATTCATGCACAGGCAAAAGTTCAAGCGAATAGCAAGGGTGTGAAGGAAACAAAACAAGAAGGTTAAAATGTCAAATTGCATGAAAGAACAATTATTATCAGGAAGTTTCCATTTTGTTTTACACCCCTTCATTATTCACAAGCAAAACATAAAAAGAAGAAAAGCTAGAAAAGCTCATCAGGCAGACAATTTAAAGCAGAATCTCCATCTTCATTGAATTGCAAGGTTGAAAACATAGAGGAGAAGAGAACCGTTTATCAGGTGAGGATGCTCCAACCAGCCTACACATAAAGTCTCTAAAGCATTGGACCACAGAAGTGTGATTATTAAATTCTAAAGCAATGCAGACTTCAATAATGCTAGCAACTCCAAATCAGTAGTCGCAGCATGCAAATACTGTCTTTGAGGCTTCAGCCAGTAAACCGAGAACAAACAACACATAGAGCTCTTTGTTCTCCAGCAAGCCATCAATTGGATTTTTTAAAAAAAATAGATTTTGCAATTTGCTACACAGTTCCATCCCACAATTCATACCATAGCCCTAGTTTTAAATATCAAAATTAGACAACACGTTTCAGGGAAATTAGCAGCTAAATAAGAAATTTGAACAAGTTTAACTGTTGAGAATGTGCACAGCCAACAAGGTTCTAAGGGGTGAAATCATTTTTATGATATTTAGAAAATCCTATGTTTGAAATGGTTTGAGGGCATGCTAATACTCATCCACCAAAAAACAGGGCTCATTCATCATATCAAAGCTGAGAATGAAAACATAACATAAAAAAATGACAATTCTAGTTGTAGTCCATATCATTTCAGTGTCCACAAACAACATTTGCAGACAGAAACTATTCCAAAGAACCAACCAACAATGCATACAGTAGTAGATTAACAAGTTCATGGCCCACAAAAACTTCTTACAGTTTTAGTCCAAAGGTATATAACTGAACTCTCGTACCACTACTTGGTATACATTTTGAACATTGCACTCTTCCACAAAAATTACAGCAAAACATTCCACATGATGCACAGTAGTACCTCCTATAATTTCATATTCACGTTAATATAACTGATGCTCGAAAATCTAACAAATAAACAAGCTGCAAAGTGATAAGAATCTAATTTAACTCTGGAAGCATTCATGTCAACCGCACATCAATCATACCAATAGGAAACCCACACTTAATTTTAAAACAAAAGCATACTCATCCGATTAATCATTTGTTTGAAATCAAATTAAAAACAGAAGTCCAATTAGTACGATTCCAATCATCATAAAAATCAGTAAATAATACCGTCCAATTACGAGTCTTGGCCAATCGGCGGGCAAGCGCATGAATGCAATAAGCAACATCTGCTCGAGGGCGAATTGCTGATGTGGCAACGAAGATTTCTACAAAAAAAAAAAACAACCCAAATCCTCACATATGCAATCCAGAAATCGAAAAAACCCCAGGAAATTAAATTAGATCTGTAAATTCACACTTAAAAATCCAAAAACAAACACCAAAGAAAAAAAGAACTCACTTCTAAGATGCCTTTCTTTTGGAGGACACTCGACGTGGTTTGTAGCTTTGACTATGGCCACATCCAAATCCTAATTATAAACATTTCACAAATAACAAATCAAATCCAATACAAAATTACATACTAAATATAGAAAAGAGATTTTTTTTTTCAAATGAAAAAATAAAAATTACCGCATAATCGCTGTTGACATGAGCGAGACCGACTTTGGTGGTATCTTTAAGGGCGCCATACGCTTTTCTCCATGTTTGAAGAGTCCCCATTTGTATCCTCTAACCGCTCAGATCGCTCAAAAAAAAAAATCTCCGCCCTCTTCTTCTTTCTCTCTTCGATTTTCTTTTCTTTTCCTTTCTTTTCTCTCTCTCTCTCTCTCTCTCTCTCTCTCTCTCTCTCTCAGAGAAAGCAACAGAGGAAAGAATCGATCAAAGGGGAGAGAAGAGAGAGAGAATGTCTCCAAAAGATGGGCGACAGCCCAACGCTGCTCGCTCTTGGTTGACGCTTCTCTGTAAACTGTAGACCCTTTTTTTTTAATTTCCAAAAATTAGAAATATTTTTGTCAAACTAATTTCTTTTTTTATTTTTTCAGGAAGAGAGGGCAGGGGTCAGGTGGATCTTTCGACGTGAGGTTGGCGGCTTTTTGGCGGCCCGCTTTGGTCATGCTGTCATTTTTATTATTTTTTTAATACGTTATAAATTAAATTAGGATTATTACAATGACAGCCATCTTTTAGTTTTATTCCAATTTTAAATAATAAAGTCTACCGCTTAAATCTAACGTTAAACAAGGGAAACAAATTGGTCAACGTTTTTTTAAATCTTTAAATTATATCGCATTTTTTTATTAATATTAATTCAAATTATATTACTTATTAATTTAAAAATCATAGATTTGAATTTTTTAAATGGGTAATATCTTTTTAAATGAATTAAATAAATAAAAATTAAAAATTATATTTTTTATCATTAGTATAACTTTTTTTAATATTGGACCAAATAAAATTGGGCGAATTTTTTATTTGCATATATTGTTTAAGTTAAGATTTTTTTTTTCATTTATATTTGGAGAGATTGATTCAATTTCAAGGGGTAGGAGAAGTTTGACTTTTTTTTATTTGACTTTGACTATTAACTCAATACGATAGGTGGGTTATAGTATTTGCTTAGTTTGATTTTTATGGAAATAAAACTCGTTGAAAATTAGCATTTGAATATTTAGTTTAATAATTAGTACATATTTTTTAAAAAAATTCTTCTTATATTTATCATGATAAAATTGTTTTAATTACTTGGTGTATTACAATTTGACCTTACCTAAATTTTTAATTTCATAAATAACAACTTATAAAGTATGAATTTCGAATTTCATATATTATTTATTGTGATTTGCTCATTTATTATTGGAAATGTTAATTTTATCCATATTTAATAGAGAATCTGATTTTTTATCTGAATAAGAATGAAATTGGGTATTGCATTATGAGGATAGGGATGAGAATGAATATGATTTTAAATTTTTATTGGGTATGAGAATAAAGATAGATAATATAATACATATTCTATACCCATATCCTATATATATTTATATATATTTAGTAGATAAATTTTTTATTAAATAATATAAATTATTATTTTAAATTAATTAAAATTAATATTTTTTAAATATATATAATAATATATATTTATAAAATATTATTAAAGGTCATATTTGATTCATAAGATTATTGATAGGATATGATAATAATTATTATAAATCATATTTGATTTGTATCTAAAGAGGGATAGAGATTGTAAGGAGGATTGATATTCTCTTGGTATAGGATGATTCAATCCTCCCCAAGTGAAAAAATTATTTTTAATTCATAGGATTAAACTTACATGTTTAGTTATATTCTTAAAAATTATATCAATAATTTAAATTATATAAACTTGAAGAAAGATAATTTTGACAAATAAATAAATTATTATATCATAATCCTTACATACATCAAATACAAAATAAGATGACATTATTTAATTTAATCTTATTTATAATATTATCTTATTTTATTGTGTACCAAACATGATTTAAATATACAAGATAAAAATAAAAAATCTAAAAAAAATAAATTTTGGTTTTTTTTTGTTCTAAGTTACAAGTATGAGGATTACCCCTACCCATTGAATACCCTATTGAATATGGATGAGGATAAATTTAAAATATTCATTGGATATGAATATGGGTACGATGAGTATACGGATGATATAATATAAAAATTCGGGCATGAAGATGAGGAATGCTTTACCCTCTCCATATTTTATCCATTGACATCCCTATATATCTTCGAGGGAATCTTGTATTAAAATTTTTTTAATTAGCAAATAAAATGTCATTTTATTTAAAGGTAATATAAAATAATAAAAAAAAAACCTAAGAAAAATTGTCAATATGGAGTTTTTTTCCATTATTTTATGGAACTTGGAAGACCCAATCTGTTGAAATTATGCCAATTTGCTGTTGTAGCAGTTGTCTTCTAAAGAATTGTACAAATTTCAAACGTTTGAGTTGGATATTTTTGTTTGGCTAGTAGTTTGGTAGTTGGCAGATTTTGTATTCATATGCTTTTTAGTTGACAGTCTGTTAACATTACCATAAAGAACAAAGAACATGAGAGCTGAAAACAAAGTTGTTTGAAATTGAAAGTTTATCCAAAAATATTAGTCTAGTTGATAAAACAAAAAAAAAATTATCTTTCTTCATCCGTCAATTTATTATCTTAATATAAATGTATCATACTGATATAAAAAAATACATATTTAAAATCAATCAGAACAAAAATAATTAATCCAAGCATAATCTAAAAATATTGTGATCGTCTTATAGAAATACATGATTTCATTATTCATTCTATTTATGTTCTTGAGCTATAAGCCTATAACACATTCTCATCAACCTCTCTTAGGATGTGAATTCTTGTAAAATTAAAATTTGATTTTCAACACTTGTAATTTAGGGGCATGCAAGTGAAGAACTCTTTTTTCTATTACAATATTACAATTGAAGAACTCAATATCAATAAATGAGCATGAAGCAAATAATTAAAAACTGCTGTGTGGAAAGTGAATCATGCACATGAAATGTAGCTTTGATGAGTTGTTCTTTAACTTTTTAAAATTAGGTAGAGAAAATGCTAAAATATTAAATTCTATTGATAGTTGTATTGAAAATTTGGGATCAAACCTTGTTTTCCTTGGAGATTGAAGAATTATGGAAAAGGAAAAAGATTATGCCACTCCGGAATAGAGAGGAAAAAAAAAAAAGAGAAAAGATTAACCGGCTCTTTTTTTTTTTTACCCATTCGATTTCTATGGATTTATCAGAAAAAATAACTGATTTTTTTATGCATTTATATATATTTTTTACAAAATTTATGTTTCTTTAGTTTTAATGTCAAAAAGTAATAAAAAAAACCATGAAATATAATTTTAAATAAATAAATATAAGAATATTAAGTGCTCACAAAAAAGAAAAAGAACATATATATTTTGGTATTGAAAGGTGAAATTTCAGAGGAAACATTGATCATTTCAATGCAGTCTAATTCTAGGGAAATCATTTCGCTTTGATGCAATTTTAGCTTTTGAAAGCCATAAAGTTACTTTTAGACCAAACTAAATCATCAAGATCGTAACTTACATTGAAAGAAAAGAGTAATACCGGAAACTGGTGGGGGGGGGGGAGGGGAAGTGAAAGGAAAAAAATACTCAAGATTAAATAAAAAAATTATATTTTTATTTTTTTAGAAAAAAATTATCTAGACGAGTCTGAATCATACCATTTAATAATTTGAAAGGATATGGACAAAATTTGAAGCATATATTATCAAACTGAGTTAATCTTGAGTAAGTATATAAAGTATTGATATCATGTTTAGATTTGATTCATAAACATTTTTACCTTAATATTTAGACTTCTCAAAATGTTCTCGTTTATATTTAATTAAATAAAAACCTTTCTACTGTTAATTTTCTTCTGCTATGAAATTGTCTAAAAGTTTCCTTTCATTGATTGCTTGATGAGTTTGTTAATCGCCACTTACAGGTTTTAGTCTCTCAAATTTTGCAGTTCCTTACACTTGGGTTTCTGGAATTTGTCTCACATGGAAATTTCAGTTTCAATCTCCCAAAGATCACACTCGTTTGTTAATAAATATATGTTACAAAGTTCAGTGCAACAGCTGCAATCCAGCACTACAACAATAATACAAATTTCACATTGCCTCGCTTAAGTTCGTTCTGACATTCTCCGGTTCTCCACCAAAGAAACCATTCTCCATAACCCAATCCTCAATCATAGCCTGAGAATTCAATGCCTGGTCAGCAGGCAAAAGATGTTCAGCCCCTATGACCACAACATTGGTCAAACTCTCCCATTTTTGCACATTCCCCGCAAGCTTGCGATTCACTCTCCAAATCTTTCTGTCAGCCATCAAGAACTTTGCAATTCCATCCCATTTCATTGTCTTCACCCATGCCTCATTTGGGACTACACCAATTTTTATATCATACAAGCCTTGGTACAACACCACCCTGGTTTTTTCCACCAAAAATTCCACCATGTACTTCACACTCTTCATCATCTCTTCATGCATTGCAGCCTTTACAACGCCACAGCAACCCTCAAATACCATTGATTCATCCACTCCTAACTTGTCTGGCAAGGCTTTTTCTTTGTGAAGTCATACAAAGTGGCCAATCCTGTCATGCTTTCAAACAAATGCATTGCCTTATTTCTAGCATTTGTTGCCTCACTCCAATTCCCCATCTTAACCAACTTAATTACCTCCCATTGTGCTTCCTATAGTTCATCTTTTTGCTTCTTATTGATCAAACCAGAATAATAGGCATTAACAGCATGAGCAGCAACCTGAGTTTCAGGTTCCGTGAACCCATCACCAATGGCAACACCTCTCAAATTCACTCTTTCTGAAGCTATCAATTGAGTATTGTGGCTCAAAATGTAATAGGATTTCTTGAGGCGCTGAAGCCATAATAAACCCTGTTCCAATAGGATTATCAAGAAAAATGAGACCAAATAAGCGATTCCAAGGACCTGAATTGGGCTCAAGAGACAAGTGTTCCACGTTTTGACTGTAAGAAGAAACAACGCGCTAGGGTCCAAGCTCGAAGAAGTTGCCTGTCATGGAGGAGCAGCCAGGGCCACCTTGGAGCCAAATGAGAAGTGGGTTATTGGAAAGGGCTGAAGTGAGGGTTTAGGCCTCATAGAAAGTGTAGAAAATGGCAGAATAGGAGGCAGGATTCACTGGGAGGTAGCCAGATTTAGCAGGGAGGGCTTGTTCGGTGAAGAGAGGAGTTGAAGTAGTAAGATGGAGGAAGACGAAGAGGAAAAATAAGCGAGTTTTTGTTGTTGACTCTTCTCCCATTATTGTTAGAAATGCTTGCAAATGGCTTGTAACTTTTGTGATGACAATATAACAGAAATTTGTTGATTGTTTTTTTGACTAATGGTAGGCATCATGCGTTTTTTTATATTACAAATCTTTTATCTACACTATATACTTTACGTAAAACTGACTGATGATTGATTAAAAATTATATAAAATTATTATAAAAATTTTTAAAATACAGATGTGTATGTATTTTCACTTAAATTGCATAATTAATTGAATTAAATCTTCAGTAGCAATCACAACCAACATCATCTTCACCGACGTCTCCAGGGCGTGAACTTAATTTGTCAGTCTTGCTTCATATTCTTACTTTGTTATCTCCTGTTCATGCTGGAAAAACTTGTTCTTTTGCGTCCGAGATGTCCCAAGCCTGCCAATCGTTTTCAACACGTCATGACTCACGTTACCAACGCCGGAAGGAGAAGCAGAGGAAGATGACCAAGACTTCACTATCAACAAACGTGCAACCAAAGGAAGATGAACGCAGTTGCTGTTACTATGTTTTAGTGTAATACAGGAAACGAGGGTTTTCTAGGTTTCTTGAGTTTAGTTCTTTTGGTTAATTTGGGTTTACGATTCATTAATTGTTAAAGAAAAAAAAAGGAGTAACAATGCTATTTGTGCTAATTTAGTTTCTTTAAAGCTTTATTTTGATTAAGCTAATACAATGATACCCTAATCCTAAATTTTGTTTTAGGTACAAAGAGGTCGGACACAAAAATATAAAATTAATATTTGAATCTTGAATTTTTTGAATGTCACATTTTAAGATAATTATATGAATTAATTGAATTAAACTTTAAATTCAATCTTAAAAATTTACTAAAATTATTATTAACACACAGGGCAAGTCTTGATTACATTATAACAAGAAATCAACTACAAATTAATCAAGAAAAATATAGTATAAGGCAAATGCTACCAAAAGATCATGCAGCAAAAATGTCCGTTTTTTAGCAATTATCAAAATTCAGAAATACATAATCATATCACATCTAGATGTATTTATGGCAACTGAAACTAATGTCTTTACCTGGGGAGTCGTTATAAAACTCAAGGTCTACAACTGGCTTTAAGCTGGAAGGAAACACAGCCACTTACCAGGTACACAAATCAGAAGAAAAATATTTGGGAGGCTAGTATTGAATCTAGTTTCACATGATCAGGTCGTCAATCAGAGGTGTGCTGAATGGTAGCTTTATGACTCCGGAAGCCACTAGGAGAGAAAAGGTCCAAATTGGTAAGATCCATTGGAGAACAACCAACAGAATTCTCTTTCCTGCAGAACAATTTGCATACAAAAACCATTATGAGCCAATCAAAAGGAATGAAATTTAGAACTCCCCAAGGCGGCACTCTAAATGGTTATAAGTTATGGGATGGAACATCAACAACTCTCATTGTATAACCCAGGGCCTTATGAGAAGTTTAGAATACCATTTCATATCAGATAGAATACAGTGGAGGAAGAGAACCATAACCATTAAATTCTTTGCTTTTTTTTTTTTTTTTTTTTCATTTTCTTCTTTCATCTGTTGTCTATGAACAAAGAAGGTGCTCTTTTCTGACTTTGGTGTGCTTTATCATGCCGAAAAATGCATTAGATCTGAAGTTGAAAATAACATAGAATCATATTGTTTCTACTGCCAAAACAATGGATTCTGAATCTCTACACAATGAAATACAAATAGAAGGGAGGAAATGCGCATTTGGTAAGATACTGAGATTGAGATTACTGAACTAAGGACTATAATCAAGAACATGGATAAAAGGTAAGAAACAATAATAACTACAAGTAGCAAATTTTGGATTTGATTCTTGATACAGGCATAAACTCAAGTACTGTAAGTAGTACTTTTTGAACTTTATAGTTGCAGGGTAAAAGAAGTAAAGATAAAGGGAATATTTCTCTGTTCAGAATATATATAATAACATCTAAGTGAACTACAATAGGCTTTATTGAGTTTCTTGTTCATGGGAGTTCAATTTAGTCAACATTTTTAACAACCAAAATATTGCTGTTACATATGGTTCACATTGTTTCTAGTAGACATTAAATTTCTTGTCAAATCATTCATATTAATTAAACTTTCTTCCAAACTGAAAAGAGAGGAGAAATGATTAAGATAAGAAACTTATCTTAATACTAGATTGCAATCCAAGCATATTTGTCAGTTGTGAAAGAAAGAGAAGCAAATTGAAGACAAAAATCAAATACCAGAGGAACGAAAGGTTGCTTCAGTACTGCTACCAATCCACTCTCCAGTCTCGCGGAGCTTCTTCTCAATTGCTCCTTCAAATTTACCACTAGTAATAGGCAAAAGCCCATCAAATATCGTCTTCCTCCTTTGCTCCAAATCACTGGCCATGTTTAACCAAAGAAAGTGGAATTACCAACACACATTTAGTCACAAACATGCAAACCCCATCTCAATCAAGCTTATTCTCAACTTCCCATAAAGAAAAAAAAAAAGAATGGAAAACGCAACAGCAAATTAAGGAAGAAATTGTGAAGAACCATCAACTATAACTAGTAAGAGGTTTACAATCAAACAAATGAGAAATTGTTAAAACAAAGAAAGAGAAGAAGGTATGCCTGGAGTCAGCGTCACGGAAGGAGCCTGCACCAATGGCACGTTCAATTTGGATGATGGAAGGAGGCTGCGGCTTTTGTTGGTGCAAACCTTGTCTCCTTCTTCTTGGACGTGTTCTAGTTTTGGGTTTAGGATTTGTTTTCATTTCTTGGGGACGAGAGGGATTGTTGGTAAGAGAGGCAAAGGGAAGAGCAAAAGCTTTGGGCATGGAAATGGAAATATGAATAGAACTGCAGGATAAGCAAGCCATGCTTTTTGGAGTTCCCTGTTTCGTATTTTGGTTTTGTTAGTTTGCTCTTCTAACTGTCAAAGGATAACTTATGATGGGCTGGCCAGTGATCAACTAGAAATATCTTGAATAGATATTAAGGTACAACATTTGAAGCAGGAGGTACAAGACCTGAAAAATTATCCCAACCCATTGCAAGCCTATATTTTGTATATATCCAAAATACACCTTATAATAACATGTTGTCTTTGCTTAAATTATTTGGCAGAAATTCCAACTGATTTGGAGATCAGGAATTTGGGATAATGTTAACCAAAGCCAATCAAAATGTTAGTGGCAAAGTAAACAAGAGGCTGCTTATCCAACTAGCAGGAGTTCCGACAGACACAAATCAGCTAGATTGAACACATCATCAGATCACTGCTAAATGCCATCCAAATGTAAATTCTTCATAATTGATTATCTTGATGACCCTTTTAGTGTCATATACGGTTTAAAAATATTCTTTGGTACTGCAGCAATCAGTTGATTTCTTTTGGACAAAATCTTATTACCATCAAGGGCTTCCACGAGATCTGAATGAGTTTTAATTCCAGAAGTAAATGGCAAGGATCCTTCACAAGGTAAAAATGCTATCTGAAACATCCCTTTGCCAAGCCTGAAGATTACAATTGGTAATTGATGAAATTATTACCATTAAAATTCAGAGCCTTTGGTTTCTTCCTTGTATCTTATAGCTCCTTGCTGGTTTAACACGTGAGTTTGTAAACATTTTGAACCATAACTTTACCGATTTCTCGATCCATTCTAATTCCATACTTGGAAAGTGATTGCAACGAAACTTTGTAAGCACACGTAAGGAAACAAACTTATGCTGAGAGTTGCATTACTTTGCAGTTTGCACCGAAAAGTAAAAACTGAAGCCGACCCCAATCTGAATGGAATCAGATGGTGGATTGGACGGCTTAGTTAAGTAAGGAGGCCCATAATCTGATTTGGGCGTTAAATTTTGAGTTTAGAGTACTGGAATTGGGCTGGCGAAACATACAAATCCTAATCTCATTTCGGAATCCAAACGGATCATCCTTTTTATTATTATTATAGAAAGGAAAAAAGCAAAGAAAAACACAAACTAGAAATGCCTCTTTCTTATATATAAAAGAAGTAAGTAACTTGGATATCCATATTTAAATTTATTATATAATTTCAAAATAATTTTTTTAATTTAGAAAAAATAGAATTCGAATCATACTGTTTGAATAAAGAATCATGTATCAATTATTGTAAATTAAATTCAATTCAAAGAATCGACCATTTATATATGATCACCAATTGGCAACTATTTTAGTTATACTACATTTCTTTAGGATGAATGTTCACAAAATTTGACATATGTGAGTTAAATAAATGTCTTTAATTAGTACAGTTTTTTTTAATTGAAAAAATCAAACAATTGACTTAGAAGTACTTTGATTTCTCCCACATTTTATAATGATCTAGCCGTGAATGTAGGTAGTGTCGGGTAACTTTTTGGGGTCCCAAAGTCACATGAAAAGACGTGGGAGATGTTGTGGAATGGTTAAACAGAAACTGCAAGCAGAAAGAAGCAGCCACCCCTTACCCTGCACCTTTCCCGAGCACCAAGCCTGCCTCACATTCACCAAGCCTAGGAATGAAAAATTATAACTGGACTTTTTATCAGTTTATAAGTTTTTTTTTTTTTTTATTTATCTTTCGATATCTTATAATCATTTTTTATTCATGTAAATTTAAAATCGAATGGATCGAATTTTATTTTAAATTTATTTTTTTTATTTATAAGATTCAAAATTAATTTTTTTATTTCATTTTGATTGTTTATTAATTTTTCTTTAAATGCAACAATATCATATTTGTTGAATGATTCTTCATTGAATTGTAATTTCTGCTTGCACATATAAATCGGGTCATGTAATTAAACTGAATCTCTTGTTTTTACCGATTGTTGCTCAAACAATAATGAGCTACAGTCTGTTTTTATCCAGAAGAAGAAGCTGATGCCTACTCCCAAGAGCTTGAGCGAAAAACTCCGTTGCTGCTTTACTTTCTATCTAGCCTACAAGCGAACAATGAATCTTTCAGTGCTAGCTCTTTTATTGTTGTTGTCCAATTACTCTCTTTGTCATTCTTGCAAGCTATTCATCTCATTCGATTACTTATGCAAGTATGTTAATATCTTGGAAACACAATGCCTGCTGCCAATTATTTTCTATTGTTCAATTTGAATTTTGATTCAAGTGTTATTACAATAATATATATATATATATTTTTGAAGTCAACCCAAAACGAGAGTTTGTGATGTTTTAAAAAGAAAGTCGTGTGGGAAAGAAGAGACGTGGAAGACATCGAAAGAGTATAAAAGGCAATAGGAGGGATAGTCGTCAATTTGGAACCTAAAATCTAAAATTTGCTTGGACCTAGTGACAGAGAATAAACACCTTGGAGTACAGTTTGAAACCTTAAACCTTTTGCTTAATAGAAGTCCTTTTCAGATCGTATAATGCAAGTAAGATGATGGATGACCCATTAAAAAGTTGTAGTTCTCAATTAACCAGAGTCTATGCTGGAGACCTTTTGTTTTGTCAGACGAGTGCAAATCATGTTAAAGGGTGGCTCCCACTTTCCACCCACCTCTTATTTAGTGAGAATTTAATTTAACTATATTAAATTATAAAAAATAAAAATAAAAATAATAAACATTTATTTTTATGATTAAATTATCAGACTAAATTTGTTATAAAACTGTATATACATAAAAATCCAATTATAAACATTTGTCATCAATAACAACAATATCTGAAAACAATTTAATTTCCAATAAAATTTTATATATTTTTGCTGAAGTGAATTGGAGATTTTGCATATAGACATAAAAGATAAAAAATAAAAAATAAAATACATACTAAAACTCCAACATCTTGTTTTTTTTAAAAAAATTTTTTTATCAACGTTTTATATCTTGAAATTTAGCATAGCATTAATAATCACACCCATATATATTCATAACAACTTACAAAATTTGCTTTATGCAAATTACTTTTCGATTTAAGCATATAATATTTAGACAAAAGCTATAAAATGAGCCAAGAAGACCATCAACAATGAATTGCAATTGTAGACACTTATTTGTGCCTAGGTCAATTGTAGATTTATAGCATACTATATTATTATAGTTTACAGTATAATAATATATTATTATACACCATATTATATTATATTATTATCATTGTACTATTATTATTATTATTATTATTATTTCTTTATTTTTTTATTTTATTTTTTTCTTCTAATCTGCGATTGAACATGAGAACTAAAATCTGGATCAAAAAGAACTCAATCCATAAGATTAAAGGCTTTAATTCATAATCAAGGAATTTTCAGTTTTAAATCGAATAAATTGCTAAAACTTAGCCTAAATTGGGGTTCGGGCATAATCCAATATCAAGATTCAAGCTTGGATTGGTTTTGTCCATTTTTTAAAATTTATCCTAAAGTTGCCTATAAATCAAACTAAAGGAATAGAGACATTGGATTTGATTACACGGTGAAAGTTGGAAAAACTTTGGTTGTTGTAATTTTGAAAATAGACATCTGGGCAATAGGGTTTTGGATTTTGATCTAGGAAATTTTTGGTAATACTGGGGATTCTGGATTTAGATTTGGCTTTCTGGGATTTAGTTTTAGGTTTCTAGAGTTGGGATTGAAGTTCTGGAAAGGTTTGGAGGAAATCTAGAAAATTTTGAAAGTTTCTAGGATTTTTTGGAAAAAATTGGATTTTAAGAAAGAACACTTGAATTTGTCGATGAATTTTTTAGTGAAAGTTTGAATTTTTTGATCGGATTTCGATCAATTTTCTAGAAATCAATGACAGACCCAGTTTTTAACTGAATTTTTGAAAAATTTTTAGAGAGAAATGAGAGAGTTTTTGGCCTAATGAGAGAAGAGGCGAAGAGCGTTTGAAGCTAAAATGCAAGGCGTATCTTTTATATTGACCCAATATGACGTCGTTCTGACAGCCCAGGATCCACACATTGACCCGTTGACCTGCACGTCGACCTACGTTTTGACTTGACCCAATCGTAGGTTTTCTTTTTTGATTTTATTTTATTTTTTAAGCTTATTTTATTTTATTTTATTTTTAATTTTTTATTTTACTGATTTTATTTTTATTTGATAAATTTTATTATTTTGTAAAAATTCTTTCTATTGTTTTATTGTTGAAAATAAATAAGTTTCTAAAAAAATAAAAACAAAAAAAATCTTTTCAAATAAGTTTGAAAAATAAATAAATAATAAATAATAAAAAAATTTCTTTCAAATAAAAATTTTTACAAAATAAAATCATGAATTCTACCAAACATTTGGAAATTTTCATGGATTTAATTTTTAAAATGGAATCCACTAAAGTATTGAAAAATTCCATAAATCATTTAAAAAAAAAAGATAATTTGTCCTCCAAACGATTAAAAGATTGATTCCTAAATTAAGTCTTACCAAATTATTGGGAGACTTAATGAATGTTCTAAAATAAAATTTTTATAAATATTTTACAATAAAATTTCACCAAACTATTAGAAAATTTGCTTTAAAGTAAGTCCTACCAAATTGTTGAAAGACTTTACTAATTTTTTAGAATAAAATACTTTAATAAATCTGAAGATGAGCCTCTTTAGAGTGGGACACTAGTCTCCATGAATATTCCTTAGGTGAGAAAATTATCTTAAATTGCTACCAAACTATTATGATAATTTTAAGACCAATTTTTAATATTAAATAATTCGATAAATTACAAATATATTCAAGGCTTAAATAATTTGAGATATAATTGGTACCATCTTTTGATGATCATTATAAGGGTGCTATAACCTTCTTCACATGTAATCGTACTTTCAAACTTAAATTTTACTTTCGTAGATCAGAATATACTATTTAAAGATACCCAAATCAATTTTGAGACTCCTCTTTAAATAGGATAGATTCAATAAGGTGACCAATCACATCTAAATAAAAAAGATTGGTGGTGACTCTTTT